CAATCCTATTTATTAATTCTAGGTGATTAAGGATCGTAGATGCAAGGAAGTGATGGATGCATTCCAGTTTAAGAAAACAGTTTCAAATGCAGCAAGTGTTCTAAGGAAACATTATCTTAAAATGCTGTTTGAGTTTGAGCATATGTATTACTTCAACGCTCCACTTGCTGAGTTTCCAAAGAGAGGTATGAAAATAACAAATCATGTTTTCTTAAAGCTGAGTTTCCAAAGAGAGGTATGAAAATAACAAATCATGTTTTCTTAAAGCTGTGTTTCTAATATAATATACTTTGATTGTCCTTTTTTACAGAGAAAGCATTGATGTGCCTTGTTGATAAATCATCAAACAAAGACATGGGTACTTAGCTATTCTATGTTTTTTTTTGGATATGTTACATGATTTTTTTGCATGTTTAGTCTCTCTTCTTTCATCTTATTTTGAGTGTTGAGATTTGTTTTCTGAAAATATTTTAGACATTGAAGAAGCGAAACCTGGTTTGGTGTTTAATGGGATCATCGATGGGAAATTCGAAAGCGGGTATCTTGTAACTGTGAAGATGGGCTCGGAAGAGTTCAAAGGAGTAGTTTTCCACATGCGTGATCAAGCGCCTCCTGAAACTCCAAGACGCAAGAAGAAGAGAGCTAAAACATCTCATGTAATACATTTTTATCATTTAAGTTTTATTTTTCTTGAATGAGATTTAATGGATTTTGGTTTATGATTGTTAAACAGGATTATGAAGAGAAAATTCTTGAGAAGAAGAAGAGGGTTAACATGGAAACCGTAGCTGTGACCAATGTTGCAAAAACTCTTGCCGCCACCAATGCAGCTGAAACTGTTGATGCGACTGTTAAAACGGAAACTATAGCTGAAATGGATGAAGCGGAGAATGTAGCTGCTACTGTTGAAACTGGAACTGTAGCTAAGATCCAAGCTGTAGAAACTGTAGTTGTCACCAATGCAGCGGTAACTGGAGCTGCGACTGATACAACAGAAACTGTAGCTGCGACTGATACAACAGAAACTGTAGCTGGGATGGAGGTAGTGGAAATTGTAGCTGGGACTGAATCAGTGGAAACTGTAGCTGCTACCGAGGCAATGGAATTTGTAGCTGGGATGGAGGCAGTTGAAACTGTAGCTGGGATGGAGGTAGTGGAAACTTTAGCTGGGACTGAGGCAGAGGAAATTGTAGCTGCTACCGAGGCAATGGAAACTGTAGTTGCCACCGATGCATCGGAAACTGTAGCTGGCATCGATGCAGCTGCAAGTACAAGTGAGTAATGATTCTGGATGGTTGTCTTCTTTGTTTGGTGTTATATTATATTTTCTTTTACGAGAACTTTTGGTTTCTTGGCTTTAGGCAACTATTTCATTCAAACTGTGTCTTTTCGTTTTTGTTTAAACTTTATTATTATTATAATTCTGCAATCTTAAATGCCATAAAGACATGAATATTTGGTTATATTTATTTAATTTTTTTTTATCATCCTTATTATGGTTTTTCTTTTGTCGTTTGTAATGTTATTTTTTATTTAGTACTAGATTTTAACACGCGGTACACCGCGGGATAAACATTTTTTTGTAATTCATGTTATTTAATAATTATCAAGATTGCATAATATCAAACTTTACTAAATCAATTTAATTATACATGTTTTATATCGATGTTGTTAAAAAAAAGAAGTAAAATGACCCGTATTGGACTGTGAGATGAATAATATTATAATTTTTTTAATAATATCAACTTAAACTCGGTACTTCTTACAACCCGTCCCATCATATAATATGTTGGAAGCATATTACAACATTTTCCCGTGTTATACCCTCTCATGTCATATAATCGCCAAAAAAATGAATCCATATTTAAAAAAATATGTTGAACAAATTATTTTGGAAAAAATATGTCATAAAATTATTTTGGGTTGAACAAATTCAACATGTTGATAAAAACATAACCAATTATCAACAATTTTATAGGTAATCGATTATCATTTTTGTTTAAACGGTTAACCAAAGTAAAAACAAAAACCTTTTATACTTTTTATGATATTTCTTTAGGTTGAGCCGACTTCTTCTTCTTCTTCTCCATTGTTTCTTCTATTCTCTTCTTCTTCATCAATTCTTTTATTTATCTTCTTCCACTTTGCTTTTTCTTCATCAACTTTTTCTAAATCTAAATAACCGTAATATCCAAACCGAATGACCCGAACTAACCGAAGTCACATGCCATATTTTACGAACACACATACAATCGTTTTGGTCACCATTACGTTTTTAAACGTTTTAGACGGATGCCACGTCATCGATTGAAGGTTTATATTGCGGGTGACTTTCGATTTCATGGTATTGACTTGCATAGCTCGGATATGAAGTATTAACTTACAAACAAAAAAAAAAAAAAAGTATTAACTTACAAAACTTTTTTACTTTGGAGAGTTTTTTGTTTTTCTTTTTTGTTTTTTTTTTTTGTTTTTGCTGAAAACCCTATATTTATTAACAAATCATTGAAATGAATTAATTCAGAAACGGTACAAGATTCAAGTGCGCATGGTAAGCTATCCTGCGCACCCACCCAGCCTTCTAGGCTGGAACGGAACTTAAAAAACAACCGACTAAAACCGAAGCTTTTCAAATCCATCCGTTAAAAACTAAAGTTTTCCCGATCTAAATGAACGGCCTCGATTTCTTCTTCTCCCCTTCGCCAACCGTCGATGCATCCACCACCGGAAACAACGGCGAAGATGATGATTGGGGAGATTTCGTCGACTCTTCCGATGTAGATCGAAACGGCGCCGATCCGTCGTCTCCTAATCGGATCGAGTCGGAGAAGAAGAATCAGGCGCATTGGGTTACTTCTCGTGGTCCGGTACCACTCTCTGTGTTCGGAGAGGAGGAAGAAGGTGATGAATCAGGTGCGCCAGTTCCATCGTTTGGTTTCTCATTCGATTCGTTTTCGAGTAAACATAATAATGGCAATGGATCTGTGAACATAGTTAAGGATTCGAATACGGATCATAGTGTTGGGATTAGTGGTTTGATCGCAAATTTGTATAGAGAGAATGGTCATAGTGATTTGGATTTGCTAGAGAAGAAACCTGGGAATGATTCGTATAGGAGTTCAGGTGGTTTGGATGTAGATCTCTCGAATTCGAATCGTAAAGTCGAGAACTCAGCTGGTAGCTTGGAGACTATGAACTGGAATCCATTGAATTTTGGTACAGAGAGGTCTGAAAGGACGAGTAATGCGGTGAATTCGAGTGCTGCTGAGGTCACATTGGATCAAAATCATTCAGATTTGGATAAAAATGAAGATGATGTTGATGGTTGGGATTTTCAATCCGCAGACGGAGGCTATAAGGTAATCATATGCGTTTTTGTTATCTTTCTCGACTAATTGAAGCGAGCAAATGCCTAAATGTGGATCTGTTGTGGTTCAGGATACTAAAGATTTGAGTTCAGGCGTTTGGAGTTCACCTACAACAAATGGAACAGGTGCAAGTTTTGATATTGGTAAAGTAGATGCAGTTAAGTCAGTTTCTGAAGGGGTTAATGGAGTTGATGACCCATGGGGAAATGGCGGATGGGAGTTTAAGGTTGCTGACGTGGAACAGCCAAAGCACGATTTAACAAACAAGGTAACAGCCGTATTCTATAATAACAATTCTTGCATTGGAAGATGGTACAAGCTTTACTTGCCATGTGTTTTTAGGAATCTAACGGCTGGGGGCTCGGATTTGGTTTTGAACCTGTTTCTAAAATTGAAACAAGTACCTCTTTTCAATCAAACGTTGAGAAAGAGCCGCAAAAGACGGAAAATGGCTCGATTTCCTTTCCAAATAATGGAGATGAGGATTTTGGTGGAACTTCTTGGGCTTTTCAGCAGCCATCATTGGAAACTGGGAAGGAGAAAGAGGTAATGTCTTTTACAATCTGCATTATAATTGATTCATTCAGCAAAATATTGGGCTTTTCTCTATTGGTTTTGAAATTAATAGTTTTCACTTTTGATGGTATCATGACTCTGAGATTGGTTAATCTGACATATCGATAATACTAAACGTACCTTGTTTGACATGCTATTCATCTCTAACTTTGCTTAACCTGCGATTGGTATCTTTATTACATCTTTTGAACATTAAATAGGTACAAACATTCACAACTGCTGCTAAGATTTGCCTTTGTTTATATATCTTTTAGAGTATACATTGTTTAGTTTAATGGAGTTGCCTTTTCTTCTTCTTGATTTTGTACTTACCTGTACTCAGGAAAAGGAAGTGCAGATTAATAAGCCCAAGGGAGTCTTGCCACTGTCCTTTTTCGAGGATGAGAAATTGGAAACCCCTGATACTTTGGTTCATCAGGATAATTTTGTTTTATCCAGCGATTTTTCTGTGAGAGAGAAAAAGGCTCCGAGTCCAACTGTGTCCATCAGTGACCTAATATCAAGTTTATACAGCCAGGTGGAGGAAAAGAATGCTGTTAATCATTCAGAAAAGTCCGCTAGTGATTCCAACGTAGTAAATGGTGAAGATGATTCATGGGAGTTTCAGGTCCCCAAAACGCCCATAACAGAAGGTGCTGATGATTTTGACAGTACTTGGGAGTTTCAAGGCCCTTCACCAGCCATGGAAAACTCTGATGTTACAGAAGGTGTCGATGACGATGATTCATGGGAGTTTCAAGGTCCAGCAGAACCTGTGAAAGATGCCATGCCGAGGATAGGAGATAATGGCTCATGGGAATATAAACATAGTTATGTAGAAAATGAAGTTGGGAGTCAATCCTCTGTTCCAAATGGTTTTGGAGAATTGGATAAAAAATCAGTATGTCAGATAGATCGTAAAAATTACCAAGATCTCTTTTATAAATTGAAGATTGAGCTATACTACATTGCTCTGAACCATCTCGAGAAACTAAAGGTCAGCAGACTTTTTGTGTCTGTAACTTTCTCTGCATAAAACTTTCGTTGTACATCCTATCTTTTAATTTTCGTTACATAATTGGAACTTTTGGATATTGAAGGAAGCTCGTGACTCGGCTGTTGATTCTGATGAAGTCCTTGAAGTTCAAAAACGCGACAGTGAAATCGAGGTAGGTATATTCGTTGTTTTCATACATTTTCTTAGGTGAATCATGGGAATGCTGCAGAGAGTATTAATTCTTGTGCTTTCCTTCTAGGATCTGCAAAACTGGCTGAACAATGATGTTTTGATCAGTGAAGTCAACCGAGAAAGTCTACAACCAAGATCCTCTGGCATTTCTGAACTTCTTAAAGCTCTGCAGGAGCCAAAGTTTCAACCACTTGATTCAGAAGATCTCCTGACAGAGAGATTGTTATCAGTTGAGTTCTGTTCGGAACTTGGTTACCTTTATATTGAGATGAATGCTTGGTAGTATGAAATATTAACACGGAAAAAATAACTAACATCTTTTCATAGGCAGAGAGGGACTGGAAATCAACGATAGAACTTCTCAAACATGCCACGCTGACCCTGAAGATCATAAACTTGGGTTCACCTGAGCAACAGTCGAAATACTCTTCAACGTGGTTTCGAATTGCTTCGACCTGCGCTAGAGAACTGCATCATGCTACATCCATTTGGAAGCAGGCGATTAAAAATGATGTTCAAGAAGAAATTCTCTCTAAACCTCAAGGTACCAAACCATTAGCACTTCAACCTTCTTGCATCGTGAGCATGACATTAATATTGACGTATTCGTATTGTGTAAATCAGGGAAGAGTTATGCTCTCTCAGTTGGAGAAATTTACAGAGTAGTGAAAATCCTGAGAGCCTCAACAAGATTATATAAACCATGGATTCTATTACATCCCACGTCATCCAATGTGTTTGCTGTTCTGGACGAGTGTGTGAAGTTGTGGTTGAGTTCTGGACTAGTAGAGGCTCTGGTAAATAAGTTCATCTATCAAGGACTTGACCATGATGATTCTGCCGGTCAACTTCTAAAATCAATTAAGAATATAGACGAAGTTGACGCTTTCACGCTTCACACCTCAGCCACATTACCCACATGCCACATCTCTGGCCTAAATACCGACATTGTACCAGGTACGCTTATACTAGCAACTGCTGTTAGAAAGATCATCTCTGAATGCTTATTCCACTCGGGATCTGTGAAACAGGAATCAAGACAGTTGAGTGGAACGGAGAGCATTACTTGCTACCGTTTGCGAATGTTTGGGCCAACCTGATAAGCCGTGATCCACCGAGCCTTCCTGGCCTCCATTTTCCTACTGTCTCTTAGAAGAAACCTATACTACACTCATGAACTCACGCAACAAGCCATTCTTACCACAACCATTTTCAACCGAAAGCTATATCCTTCCATACACCTATACTTATTTGTCTATAATGTTTGATTTGTTATGGGTTGTGTTATTGTAATTTATTTCGAATGGGTTTGGGTCTCACTAGTTGAGCACATTCCCAGTTTTTACAGAGGATATATTTTTGTATCGGAAGAAGCAATAAGCCAATATAATCAGTTCATATATTTTTACAATGTCGCCAATGGTATTCAGAGGATGCAGAGATTTACGATGAGTTAAAACAAAGATGGAAGCTTGAAGTGGTATCTAAATCAAACACTTTCGGCTTTGTCCATGTTTAAACTAAAATGGAATCAAGATTGTTGTTGTGCAGCACCTAACTCCTGAATCATCAATCATGTTTCGCCGTGACAGGGGCATAAGCTGATTACAGGAAAGTATCAGAGCTATGATTCAGGCTTTTGAAATACGTTAGATATAAAGTCGTCGGCGCGCTAAATCAGACTCCTTCACTATAGTCAACTTCATCATCTGATTCAAGGTAAGATCAAGACTACAAGTTGGATAATAATGTGGGAAATTCACAAAATGCTTAGGTCCTAAATTATACATAAGTTTTACAGAACCATAGATTATCTTCAGTCATCTACTCATATTATTTAGTTGAACATAATTATATAAACACTCAAGTCCACTCCTTAGCTTCTTTTTCTTATCTATGGAGCTGCGAAGTCCCTTTGCTTCTCCTTAGCCACCTTTCCTGTCGTCTCCAGCATTTTATTCTGCAATTTCGCCATTTCACCAGAAACTTCTTGAAGCCTCATTGCAAACTCAGAGGTCTCCGCCTCGCAAAACTTCATCTGTTTCTCTACTTCACTGAGACTATGTGCTCTATCACGAAGTGACTTAAGTTGCTTGTACGAATCCGTAAAGGCAGTCAAGGTATCAACATATTTCAAAGAAACATTCTTGAAATGAAGCTTTTCTGAGTTATATTGCTCCATGAGGTCCATCAAGGAAGAGCTACCTGAAAACGAGGCTCCGGTTTCACCAGATATAGTAGATTGATGTTTATGGTCAGGTTTGGTTTTGCCATTCGAAACTGAACCACCAGTGTTCTGAGATACACCAGTTATCTCCTCCGATGCATAACTCGCTTTACTGTTACATTTCAAAAGATCACTACACAAAGTCTCCACTTGAGGTTCAAGGTGTTTAGGGGCAAGTGAAGGAAGTATTTGCTCTTCCGCATCTTCATATAATGTAATCAAATCAAATGAAGGGACATTGCCTATAAAAAAACGTATTAGCTCAAAAATGAAAAGGCAATGCCTAGTATCTAAGGTGAAGAACACCGAATAATGCACACAAACGCAAGGTATCTCGTTAGCGGGAAATAGTCCAGCCTAACTAACCAATATCGCGAAAGCCATCCCTAAAGAAGTAACAGCCAAAACGTACACACAAGTAAACAAACAGAGAAATACCTTGGTTTCTGCCATCTACAGAAACAATTCCACCATTGGAGACCAATTTACGATTGTTGAAACCTGCGAAAACCGGATTCGATTCTTTTCCGACAGTGATTGCATTCATTGGAAGAGTATCTTTCACAGGCTGAGCAATTCTACCAACAACTCTGTTTCCAAGAGTAGACTCATTAGATAAACTTGGATTCAAATCTGATTCAACCACCACTCCAAGTCTACTCCTCTTTACATTCCCTAGTTGTTCAGATTTAGGTAGAGTTTGAACATCATCCTCTAACTTAAAGAATCCACAAGCCCCAAAATTCTAACAAAAACATCAGACAAGACAAGACAACTTCAAAATCAGATTCAGAAGTATGTAATGGATATGAGTTCCGTTGTTATAAGACAGCAAACAAAGTAAGAACGTTGAGCGTTTGGTCCATCTATGACTGTTACCTTTCTACAAGGTCTAGAGCCACAAGGGCAAGTGGGATGAACAGAGATTGACTCTGGTTTGATGATACTCTCTTGATCACACCATTTGAAATATCCACAGCTTGGGCATTTGTAGAATCTCCTGTTTGGGTTTTCCTCTGTTTTAGAAGTGAAAACGTTGCAAACTCCGCCGTTACAGGGGCAGTGAATGACCGGCGGAGACACGGCGGCGGTGGGAACTGTGGTGGTTTTGAGAGGACAGTTTTTGGCCCAGTGGCCAGGCTGATGACAATGGAAGCAATCGCCAGTTTGCATGACTGATCGGAGGAAGTAATCGTCGTCGTGCTTCTTCCACTTGTTCTCTCGGATTCTATAGAAGTCGCGTTTAGTAGACAAGACAGGTGAATAGTGTTGTGTCTCGATTTGTGAGCTCAATTTTTCTACTCATACTATTCATCAATTATATATAAACGGAAAGAATTTTCAAAAAATTGTCGGAAAAAAAACCGAAAAATACGCCATCTATTTTTTATTTGGATGTTTACTAGGGTGACGGTATCATATAACGGAGTTAGATTTTAATTTGACGTGTTTAACTGATATATATAACTTGGTTACAAGCATGTACGAAAGAATTGTTGTGGCCTGGTGGTGACATGCTTCCTTTTGTACTCACGGGTTCAGTGTTCGATTCTCTGCCAAACCCTTTTTTTTTTTTTCTTCTTCTTCTCCGTTGTCACCGTTGTCACCACTGAACAGATCAGAACTTCTCTCTAATGGTTTTCTTTTCCTGTATACCAGAAAAAACATTTCTATTAACTTTTGTGGTGCCAATCTTCATGCGGATTCGTTTAATTTGTCTAGTTCGAAACCTAAGCCACAGATCTCAATTCCTATCTTTCGAGAAGGTTGATTTTAAATTTTTTTGTCGTAGATCTAGATCGGCATATCTCACTCTCACGATTATGAGAACGCCTTGGCTAGAAAAAACTTCTGTCAACTTTTTAAAAAATCGATCTATGATCTGTAAGAAAAAAAAAAAAAAAGGGTTTGGCAGGGAATCGAACTCTGAACCCGTGAGTACAAAAGGAAGCATGTCACCACCAGGCCACAACAATTCTTTCATACATGTTTGTAACCAAGACATATATATCAGTTCAACACGTCGAATTAAAATCTAACTCCGTTATATGATATCGTCACCCTAGTAAACGGCTGTTAACTGTAAGGTAGGAATCTACTAACGAGTATATAAACGAATATTTTTTAAAACAACGTTAAATAAACGAGGTATATTTGTTCCAATAAAAAAAAACGAGGTATTAAACATCCAAATAAAAAATAGATGGCGTATTTTTCGGCTTTTTCCCAAAAATTGTCAGCTATTCTATTATTATTATTTTTTTCAAGGGTTTTGTGCAAAAAAACTATTAAGTAATATTTTTTTGCAAGAAAACCTTTCATATCAAATAAATGCAGGTCAATACCATAATCTCAAAAGTCACCCGCAATATAACCTTTTTCTGTATCGATGACGTGGCAGTTTAAACACCTTGCTGTTTTGAAGACAAAAAGATAACAACACATTGATTTTTTTTAATAAAAAGATTTTACAAAACTGTTTGTCTTCTTCGTTTGCATCTCTGCAACAATAAAGAAAATATGAAAAACATATATCAAAATCGAATCCCTTAATCCAATTTTATCATTTTCCCGAATCGAGTCTCCAAGACAAAGCTACAAAAGAAAAATTAAAAACAAAAACTTAGAAAGAAAAACTGGATTTATGGATCTAACATGTTTGCTCTCAAGGGTTTTGTTTATTTGTTTGATCTTAGATTTTTGTATCTCGTCATTTTGGAAGCTTACCCAACAGTGAAATCAAAACTATTTCTGGGTTTTATCTCTTATAAATCTCGCTTGAGTGATCTTTACAGTCCACCTTCGATTCCAGCTGTTTTTGAAAATCTATGGTTGGTGGTTCAGATTTGTTTCTTATTGTTTTTTCATCTGGTGGAGAAAAATGCTCCTTGTGTTTGGAACATTCGAGACAATAATTTTTGTATTTAGAACACACGAGAGACAATAATATTGTATTTGAATGAGCAGCAAGTTCTATGATTTCTTTTGGTTGCAGAGATGCAAACGAAGAAGACAAATTTTTTTTTTACTTTTTATTATAATTTTTTTTTAACGTTTTGTCATTTTTTTGTCTTCAAAACAGCAAGGTGTTTAAACTGTCACGTCATCGATACAGAGAAGGGTTATATTGTGGGTGACTTTTGAGATTATAGTATTGACCTGCATTTATTTGATGTGGTGAGTAGTCTTGCAAAAAAATATTACTTAAATGGTTTTTTGCACAAAACCCTTTTTTCAACTTGAATTTTTATTATCCGATTACAAAAAAAAGTCCAAAAAGGGACACTTAAGCCGACGGACAACTGAAGTCTCCGGAGACATTGCCAGAGGAACAAACAAATTTCCCGGAATCTAAACCCTATCAAAGAGGACCAAAAGAACTGAACGAGAAATACAAAGCAAATAATGTCAAACACAATCGAAAGAGGACAACTCCTTAATCTAGGAGCAGAAGAAACTAGCTACAAACCCTAAAGAGGCAAGAAATAACTAAGAGAACAAAGCAACCTCTCCTTCTGAACACATGTGAATGCGATTTATCATGGATGCTCACGGCCAAACCAGAAATAACATCTACCACCTCCTATCATAAAGAGAGCCAATCTCTCAAGAAACCAAGGATCTCAGAACCCGACAAGCAAAGAGCGCTCATAGACACACATAGAACCTCGAACACACTTCCGGATGCGACGATGACGACAAGAGCGTCCTTTAACGTATAGCTAGAAACCTTCATAAGAGATCAGATCTAAACAGAACCTGAAAGCAGAGACAAGGAGCGAGGCAAAGCTTCTCAACAACACATCCAATCTATGGACCGAGAGCTACGAAGGTTTGAGACAGCAAACACACACCGCGAACACCAAGGAGAAGAAGGCTTTGGACACTAGAAGACAGCTAATACCAAACATTGAACACGAAGCTTCTGCTTAGAAAGGAAGCTATCCAAAAAGAAGACAATGGTTGAATCGAGTAGGCAAAGAGAGCAGGGAAAGGCACAAAATGGGCGTATAGAAACACAATCCACAACCAGGCCACACAACGTCATATAAACGACGAAAGGCACAAGAACATCTACAAACCAAGGGGCAAGATCAAGCAAAGAAGAGACTTTATTCTTCCAGTTATACCATAGATCTAACAGATCCGGAATTATAATCAACCTCTCTGAAACCAAAAGTCCCAAAAGCTCTTACCGTCTGGACCGCTCTCACAGCCCCAAACCCAAGACTTGAATCAAACCAAGAGACTTCCCAATTGAAGGCCAAACAGGAATGCAAACGCCACTAACCATCTAACCAAACCTGAGTGGTTAAAGCTCCATCAACGGCCGAGTTCCACCACCACAAATATACATGTCGGATTTGGTTGTTGCAAATTAAAATTCCACTAAAAATCCTTGAAAATCGCTAGGAAATCCCTGAAAATCTCTCAGAATTTTTGTCTATATAAATTCAATTGAGATTCATTTGTTTGGCAAACGAAAATAGATACAATACCAACAAAAATGTCTTATTCAGATCCTTATGGTTATTTTTGTTGATGGATGGATAAACTTAGATACAATAAAGAGAGGGGCAAACTCTCAGAAGAGTTCAAAGAAGGTCTTAGGCAATTCTCATTATTTGCATCAAACCAGAGCATATCAATAAGAAACATGTACTATGTCATGTCATTGTCCAAATTGTCAGAATTAAAAAAAATCTTGAGGTACCATTAGTAAGGAAGCACTTGTTTAAGAATGGATTTCTGCTGGATTATATGATATGGCTTTCGCATGGAGAAAGTGAATCAATGGTAGATTATGGTAGTACTAGTCACCATTATATTTTGGATAGTGTAGAGGAACCATCAACGGAAGTAGAATAAGGTACATTTCAGATGGAGAACGATGCATTTAGGGAAAATGCCCCCTCATTAAGTTGGGATGGAGATATAATAGAGCAACAGAATTCAGAAGCCTAGAGATTCTTTGATATATAAGATGCGGAAAATATGTCACTTTACGATGGTTGTAAGAATGGTCATTCACCGATATCAGCCGCAACTAGGTTGTTGGGAATAAACACGGCTTGAAATTTATCAAAGGGTTGTGTAGATGCAATTACAGATTTTATGAAAGAAATTTTGCCGAAGAATGATCTTTCATCAGCTCTGTACTATGATGTGCAGAAACTTGTAGCTGGACTTGGGTTGCCATATCAAGTAATAGATGTGTGTAGTGATAATTGTATCATTTATTGGAGAGAAGATGCAGGTCGCACTACATGTCGGGTTTATCGTAAACCTTGGTATCAAGACAAAAGTGGAAAAGTTCATATACCATATAAGAGAATGTGGTATCTACCGTTGGCATAGAGGTTGAAAAGATTGTATCAGTCAGAGCGTACAACAGGATCATTGAGATGGCATGCAGAACATACATTAGACTGCGTAAATCCGCACCCATCGGATGCAGAAACATGGAAAAAATTTCAATCAGTCTATTCTGGCTTTGCGTATGAGCCAAGGAACGTTTTTCTTGGTTTGTCCACATATGGTTTTAATCATTTTGGGAAACATGGGAGGCAATATTCATTATGGCTAGTTATTGTGACACCTTATAATTTTCCGCCATCTTTGTGTATGAAACGAGTTTCTTTTCCTTACCATTCTTGTTCCTTGTCCTGACCATCCGAATAATGCACTTGATATTTTTTTGCAGCCATTGATTTATGAGTTAAAAATGTTATCAGAACATGGTGTGGAAGCGTTCGATGTTTCTGTGAACCAAAATTTCAACATGCGAGCGGTGCTTATGTAGACTATCAGTGATTTCCCAGGCTATGGTGTGTTATCTATTTTCAAGATAACACTGATGCATTTCATCTAAAACACAGACGTAAAACATGTTGGTTTGATTGTCACAGACGATGGCTCCTTGAAGATCATCCTTATCGTAGTAGCACCACATTATTTAGAAAGATCAGGCAAGTCTTTGATAGTCCACCTCCTGAGTATTCAGGTGAGGAAATTTTGACTCAGTTAAGAGATTTTGGTGTTGAGAAGACAGCGGTTTGCGGTGGTAATGGGCATGATACCGTTGATGGATATGGCAATCATCACCACTGTCACAAGGCTTAATCTTCTATGCATTACCATATTGGAAAGACCTTTTGCTAAGCACAATCTTGATATCGTGCACACCAAGAATAACTTTTTCAATAATCTCATGAGCACCGTACTGAATGTTGAAGGAAAGACAAAAGAAAATTTGAAGTCTAGATTTGAAGTCCATAATGTTTATTAAAACGTGGAAATAAATTATATCTGCTGAGGTTTTCAAAAAATATTATCATAAATAATTATTGGCAACTATTTTAAAATTTTTTATACTTTTGTAAAATGTATAAAACTAAAACACGTTTTATACACAATATCGCTATTTCTGACGGAATTCCTAGGGGATCAATAAGTCCTTGGAAATTTGTCAGTATTTTTTTTATGGCTGCCAAATGGTTCATGAATATGGTCAGATTTATAAAAAAATCCTAAATTCCTCAAAAAATCCTCAAAAATTTCTATTGGATTCCCCGAGGAGCTATGGTTGTCCACGAAAATCTGTCGAAAATTTCTGATTTAGATTTTTATTTGGATTTACATGTGTTTTCTAATACATATAACGCGGATTCAAATGGATTTGAAATTCATTACTATTGTATTTTTGGTGATTGTGGTAGATTTTATAATTTTTAAAATTATTAAAAATAAAATAAAAACTACCCATAACTCTCCACTCCACCGGTTTCAGTTGTTACGAAGCCGAAGAAATTAGGGATTTGATATTAGATGTAAGATCAATGAAGATAATATTAGTTTTGCGGACATGGCTTTGCTCTCCGTGGTTATTAGTAATCTTACAAAAGCGTCAACGCCAAAGTAGAAGAAGAGGGTTGGAGGGAGATATAGCTCAGATCAAAAAAATGGGAAGGTTCCTTTGTTGTAGTTTGGTTGAGAAAACTGAGGATTGCTGATTTGAGAAGCGAACCGATTCAGATTCATCATTTTGATTGAACACTATTGAGCAAAGGTTCGTTTAACCCGAATTATATCTATTTGAGAGAGAGACGACTGGGATAGAGAGGAAAATGAAAAAAAAAAAACAAAAAAGGAGAAGAACAAAATATTCTAGAAAAAGGTTGGATTGTGTTTGTTCATGTGTTAGAAGAAAAATACGTAGAAATCTAATATAAAATAAAATCGGGTGAATAAAAACTCTTTTAGATGGAATTTTGAATACACCAAACAAATATATAATTCAATAAGAGTATATTTTAATGTACAATTGATTAACACCTGATTTTAAAATAGATCAAATTCCTTTAAAATACATTATTCAATAACATACTCTAAGATCATTAATTTCAGTTTTGATTTTCATATTTATTTTAAATATAAAGACATGAATAACGGGTCAAAAAACAGCTTAATCGTTCATTTTTTTATAATTATTTTCGCTAAATTATGGGACAAGATATTTAGGTAACGTGATGGCGTTATAAAATCTGGATAGCTAATTTATATTTCAACTTTTAATCTATATTAAAAAAGTATTGCATCCTGTGCTGTAGCAGGAAATATCAGCTTTGGGCGTAATGAACCGGCCGTCGGATAAGAGTAGGTCCACAGACTGAGAGAGGACGTGAGGTCCATGGGCCAAGAGAGGACGTGGAGTCCACTGAAAATGTGACGGTTGGGGATTTACAAAAGTAAAATAAAATATTATACTAAATTATCCGTGTTGTAGCCAGGTTATGTCTATTGACTAAACATAATTGCATGTGTTGTAGCACGGATACTATCTAGTTATTTATTATGTGTGTCTTAAATTTTAGTAAATTATTTCTAAATTTGTTTTAATTATATATTATTTCCATTTGTAGCAAGATTTTAATTGGGAAAGTGGTGATTCTCGTAAAGTGAGAAGAGCTTTTGTCACATTCACCACAATCACATGCATGGAAGCAAAAGTGGAAGGAAGGCAAAAAAATGCCGAAGTTTCTAAACCCCAAAGTTTCTAAACCCCAAAGTTTGGCAAGGGTTTATCCGCTATTGGAGTATGGATACGCAATCTATTTTGTCACAAGCATCAAAAATCCTGTGCGAACATGGTGGAAAGGTTATAGCAACCCACAATGGAGGTTCCATATCCTTTAAAAAGCATGAGAGAAAAATGGTAAATTTTAAATTAATTACTCTAATTTTTTTCAAATTTTATACGTTTAGATTTGATATATTATTTACTTTAAAAAGTTGGTATCTATACTAGATGAGATAAATGCTACTGGTCCTAATGCTATAATGAAGTAAGTGTTGTATTGTATCATTCATTAGTAACTTTTAGGTTTTAATTTTGTGTATGGTTTAAGAAACTTGAACTCTGGTAATTAGGTTTTGGGATGATGAAGACGTGTGCAAAAAGCTAAGTCAACCAATGGTCATTGCTGATCATGAAACTCCATCCCCGTCTGATGGTAAGGAAGATGACGAAGTCTCTCGGGGAAGGAACGCGTTGCAGATAGTATAGATCGGTATGTCAATCTATCTGACCTTACATGTGGTTTATAGCAACCTTAAACGCGGGTTTTGAACCTTAACTTATCCTGGTTCTGTTTGTTTTCTATATGATATGTGTTAGAGTTGTAATAGATAAAGAAAGTGTGTTCAAAAGGCTTGATGAGGTAATGGGTATTGTTCATAAGACTGCTACTTCTGGTGATGTGAAAGTAGTAAACTGATTCCTACTCTGTTAATGTCTCTACTCTGTTTATAAACTCACTTTGTAAGGGTCTGAAAACTGCGTTGGCTACTGCGAATAAAGATGACGAAGACTCCGAGGGAAGGACAGCTCTGCATTTGGCTTGCTCGCGTGGTGAGGTATGTCAATCTATCTGCCGTTACATGTGGTATAATCTTGGGTTTGGATACAACTTACACTAATTGTTTCTAGGTGAAATGTGCTAAAGTTCTTCTGAAGGCTGGAGAAAATCTCAATGCGGTTGACAAAAACAAGAGCACACCATTGCACTATGCTGCTAACTGTGGGAGAAAAGGGTGTGTAAGCTTTCTCCTAAAGAAGGTGCTACAATGTAAGTTTGCAACAACCAAAAAAACTCTGTTTCAAACAACTCTGTTCTATATGACTCAGGTGTTTGATGTGGCTAGTTTCGTGTGTAGCTCTCTGCAAAACATGGATGGCAAAACTCCCATTTATTTGGCTAAGCTTAACTATCATCTCAACGTTGTGAACTTGCTTGAGAAGGACGCTTGACTTTGCCTTTGAGAGCTTTGAGATGCGCATATAGGGTTTAATGATCTGATAAAAGTGGCTGTAAGAAAACAAAAGAGAGATAAGTCGTTTTATTTATTTGATATTCATACATTGCTTGTGCCTAACGCATCAAATTCTCAAGCTGGCTACACACAAGAAAAAACTATTATAAGCAACACCAATCACTGTGATATGCGATTTACGCTGAGTTCCTTCGTTTCGCCTTTGAACGAGAAATGACGCCAAATATAAGCTTAGAAGTAGAAGGATCCCAAGAAAGTCCAATCTCATCTTTTTCCCTCAAGCTTCTCCTTTCGACAAAATCATTAACCCAGCCATTCATTAGACCATAGTTTATTCCCCATACCCGACGCAGAAGCAGCTTATGCATTGTGCCCAAGTCGTAGTCATATATGTTAACAATGATTCCGATTTTAGCTCTTATCTTTTGGACATCTGCTTCAGGAATATGTCTTCGAATGTGCTCATCAAAGGAGCTTTCTTTCAGAACAAGTTTGTCATAACCAGAATAAAGATCGTAATCGGTTAGAGTCTTCTTGATTGTCCATTGAGGTGCGCTGAGAGCTTTAGGGGTAGGGATCATCACAATCTTTTCCCTCTCTCTCTTTGCGTTCATCATCGACTCAATGCTTCCAAAAGAACCAAACGCAATGTTCGTGTCTGATCCTTCACCTAAAGCAACCAAACAAACATACAGTCAAGAAGTAAAACAGAGCTTTCTTGCAGAACAAGTGTGTCAGTATTAGGGTTAACATTTATTACCAGTCAGTTCCTTTGTGATGGTGCATTGAGGTGCGTTGACAGTTCTAGGGGTAGGAGTCATCATAATCTTTTCTCTCTCTCTTTTTGCTTCAATGGATTCAATGCTTTCACAAGAATCAAACGCAAAGTTACTGTTGTACTCGAAAGGGTCAGAAGTGTTTATGCCATATCCTTCACCTAAAGCAAGAAGTCAAATAAGCTCATCAACGAAGCTTTCTTGCAGAACAAGCCTGACAGTTTTAGGGTTAACATTGCTACCAGTCAGTTCCTTTGTGATGGTCCATTGAGGTGCTTGGACAGTTCTAGGAGTAGGGATCATCACAATCTCTTCCCTCTTTCTCTTTGCGTTCATCATGGACTCAATGCTTCCAAAACAACCAAAATCAATGTTACTTCTGTAGTCGAAAGGGCCAGAAGTGTTTATGCCAGATCCTTCACCTAGAGCAAGAACACAACCACAAAAAGTCAAATAAGCTCATCAATGGAACGTTCTTGCAGAACAAGTGTGCTAGTATTAGGGTTATCATCGTTACCAGTCAGTTCCTTTGTGAAAGTCCATTGAGGAGCGTTGACATTTCTAGGGTTAAGGATCATCTCAATATTTTCTCTATCTCTCATGGATTCAATGTTTCCAAAAGAACTAAAAGCAGTGTTACTTCTGTATTCGAATGGAACAGAAGTGTTTATACCAGATCCTTCACCTACAGTAAGAAGTCAACCACAAGAAGCCAAATAAGCTCATCAACAAAGATTTCTTGCAGAACAAGCGTGTCAGTATTAGGGTTAACATCGTTACCACTTACCGGTCAGTTCCTTTGTGATGGTCCATTGAGGTGCGTTAACTGTTCTAGGGATAGGGATCATCTCAATCTTTTCCCTCTCTCTCTTTGCGTTCATCATGGACTCAATGCTTCCAAAACAACCAAACTCAATATTACTTCTGTATTCAAAAAGACCAGAAGTGTTTATGCCAGATTCTTCACCTAAAGCAAGAAGTCAAATAAGCTTATCAACGGAGATTTCTTGCAGAACAAGCATGCTAGAATTAGGGCTAACATTGTTACCAGTCAGTTCCTTTGTAATGGTCCATTGAGGCTTATACTCATTGACAGTTCTAGGGGTAGGGATCATGACAACCTTTTCTCTCTCTCTCTGTGCGTTCATCATCGATTCAATGCTTCCAAAACAACCAAAATCAATGTTACTTCTGTATTCAAAAGGACCAGAAGTGTTTATGCTATATCCTTCACCTAAAGCAATGAAAAAACATACAATCATGTACTCTGTTTATAGCAGGAACAACCACAAAATGGGAATAAAGACTTTACTTATTCAGCACTCCTAAACCCTGAAGTGTATCTATATATACCTCTAACGTCGGAACCTTCAACACTTAAGTAAGACTGATCACTGTAAGACTGGTCACTGTTGTTCTTGACATCTCTAGAAGTAGGCTTCATCTGTGTCAGGTTAGGATCTAGTTCTGATCCCATGTCCCCTGCATAATCAAGAGAACCTGCAACACACAAGAAATAAATTACTGGTTTTGTCTCCATACCAGTGTCTTATAGTACATAATTTGTGACGAACGAACCTTCGAAGAAGCCATTAGAAGGACTTGGCATGTGTGTAATGTTGAGAAGGATGTTATCACTGTCGTAGTAACTTGGATTATCCCAGTACGATTCATATTGCCTCAAGACTTCTTCATGTTTATTCATCGGAGGAACAGAAGACGACTCTTGTGTTTCTTGGCTCATACTCGTTTGTCTCTGTTTCCTTGGATCGCAAGAAAGATGAATCTTGAGGGATCTCTCGTAGTTCTTGACTCGTACTTGTTCGATTCTTCTTCCTCAGTGCTAAAGGATCAATGGAGAGAGACTTCTCTGTTTACTTGTATCTCAAGAATGAAGAATCTTGAATGAAACAATCCTCGTCGGAGAAAGTTATCGTTAAAACGAGATTAGAGAAAGAAAGATTGGGATTAGTGTAAGCGCGAGTGACGAGAGTCGTTAATTATATATAGGCGACTAATTAATTATCTAATTTTATAAAATGTGTAATTATTACTGTGAATTAAAAAATTTGGTTGTATTTTAATTTGATTAAATGATTATTTTGTTTGTCTTATTAACAATTTATCCTTAGTTTCAAAGTTTATATTCGGTTTATGTATTTGTTAAAACATAAAGAAATGTAGGTGAAGCCTGGTTAATTATAATTAGTACAAAAGTTGCAATATATATTTAGAGTACTATGATACTAATAATGCAGCAGGATGAACAAATGCATGTTTCTTTTGATTTACGGATATTATCACATTTCAAAAATAATTAAACCCTAAACGATACTCATTAAGCTCTAAACACTAAACCCTTGCATTAAGTATAAAATGTTATCAAAGGTCTCAGAGGCAAGTATCCTCAAGCAGGTTCACCCAATCTAGCTTATAATTAAGCTTATCCAAATCAATGGGAGTTTTGTGATCTTGGATTTTTGACTATTATTACTTTTTTTTTTGGTTTCTTTTTTTTTTGTCATCACTTTTTTTTTTGGTTTTTATATTACTATGATGATATTCGAAAGATATGCGGATTTTTGAATTTATAACCTTGTTTCAATCTATTAACTAGAGGATAACCCGTGCTTCCGCACGGTTGAAAATTTTTTTTGGAACAAATTACTAAATTTTTTTACTGTATTGTATAAATATTTGGTGTTTAATACAATAGATTTGTACTATATGATAAACAGAATAGTGTGTATTATTGTACAGTTGTAAATTCGTTTGGTTTTAATATACGTATGCATATATCGTATGTTTTGAAAAACCGTAATATATATCGAGCACGGTAGTTACCTCAACCCTTGTTAATAAAAATGAATTATTTAAATAAAGTTATCCCTTAGGGGATGATCCGTAAGCACGGATGACATGTTTTTAAATAATGACTAAAATATAATCTATTAATTGGTTTTGTATTAATATTTGGTATTCAATAGTATTAGATACACAGAATAACGTGTTTACTTATATATTTTAATTTTAATTCTATAGAGACTAAATCACGTATTGATTTGTATATGATAACTATAAAAAGTAAATAGCGTGTGTATATTATGTTTGATTTTAATATAAATATGTATATATTGTATATTGTTTGGTTTTAATTTGACATGTATATTTATTTTGTATGTAAGTTATACACAAAGTAGGAAATAAAATATGAACCAATTACTCATAAAAACATAACAAAACTCACGCACGTAGCGCGGAGAACTGACTAGTAACACATAAAGTTAGGCTGGTTATACATCAGATTCTTCCAATATGCTTTTCCAGAGCCATGTAGTCTTTGCTGAAGCAACCAACCAGTCTGAAGGATGTTCAGGATGTGCCACAAGAAAGTTATATCCCATCTTCCTCTCTTGGTCGAGCATATTTAGGTAATTTTCGTCTTCACGACAGATGAACATACGATTAGCCGGAGGTGGATTATCATCATTATACAACCCTCGGCGCAACACATCTCCGAAAATATTACTTCTAACTTCTCCTCTTTCAGAACCTAAAACGTGAAAACAAAAGCTCGTAAATATATATGCATGGTTAATTAGACCATATATGAATTTGAATATGAGCATCAAAATCATACAAATTCAAGAGATAAGGAAAAGAATATTAACTGGAGTTGACGTGAGTAAGTGTGATCCCAGTGGAAGAGAGAGCTTTCTTGATAGAAGGAGGGATATGATCCATGTTGCCAAAGGCATATATATAGATGTTACCACGATAGTTCAACTTATTCAAGGCCAACCTTATTTTCTCAACGATCCCTTCAGGACTATAACCCTTTGGGATTGGACAGTCATCAATGTCCCACCAAACCAACGTTGCAGCCTCCTCGTATATAGCCTCCGCTACCTTATTCTTCACCATCTCGTATATATTTGAAGGCTACGAATTAGAAGTGAATCAAATCAAAACAATGAACTTGAAAGATTAAAGAACAACTCGATTTAGAAACTTCTCAAAACTAAATCTCTCTCAAGGTCTTATGGAACACTTCTCCATAGGCTCTTATTTATATAGAACTTAGCTTCTCCTAATCCTATATTGTAAAGGAAAACTTACAAAACTTATCTTAATAAGACTTTATTTGTGTTTTCCTATTTGCTATCTCTAGAAAGAGATTACTTGAACTCCAAGTCTTGGAATTATCCAAGAGTGAATAGACAACGAGAGAAGGTTAGTAGTAAAAGAAGAGAAAGATGGTGCTATATATCAGTATGGTAATCGTATCGAATTAGCGATCTAATACCTTTTTCCTGAGATTGACGCAATACTTCTTGATCTTCTTCTACGTATCAGTATATAAGGATTTAGGGTTTTATTTTAATTTTAGGGTTCTTGTAAGAAATAGATAGATTTAGTGGGTGTTATTGGATAATGGATTTTAATAGAGTCTAACTCTAACCCAAGTCTAATGTTATTTAATCAATGATTTTAAATACTTTACTCAAATCAAGTGTTATTGGTTCTTATATTTGCAAAATCTTCATTAAAAGAGTTTAAAATCTAGTGTTATTGGTTCTTATATTTGCAAAATCTTCATTAAAAGAGTTTAAAATCTAGTGTTATTGGTTCTTATACTTACAATTATTAACTAAAGTCTTATGTTATTCAAGTTTGGTGGATTTTCACAAATGATTTCATTTGAAAAGCTTTGAGTGAATCTGAAACTGATTTCATGTGTAAATTATGTCAATCCCAAAACCAACCTTCTAACATGAGATTTGACAATCTAATAAATTAATAAAAGTTTCATTTAACGTAATACACGTACGTTATCAATATTTGCAAACTCATTCACCCATGACCCAACACATATGTATCTCTCTTTATCATTTTTTTCCCAGTCTTTTTTTTTATCACTAGTTAATGTGTATATTGTTTTAACAGTTGTTGTATGATTCATTTGATCACTTTAACAAAAAAAAAAAAAAAAAAACTTTCATCTTTAAAAGATATGTTAAGACTTCAATACAGAAATTTGAAATGGGAAAAAAATACGTGATGGTAAAAGTTTGGTATAATTTCATTGAAAATTGTAAAATCATTTGTTATAGAATTCAATTATATTGTTCAAAACCAAAAGATATCATGTGTCAGTGTAAATACACTTCCACTGATTTAAAGAATGAATAGTAAATCAGTCTCAATGAACCCAGATTTTGAAAATCTTATGAATTTTAAAATCTAACGGAGTTGAATTTAACTTAAACAACTAATAACACCCCCTTAGGGTAGTAATTGTATTCTTGTTAAAAAAAAAAAATTGTATTCTTGTAATGCGACGTGAATTTTGTCACGGAGCGCCATGAACGTCGGTTGTTGTGGGTAAAGCCAGCTAGGTCCGGCCCTACTTGATTAGTTTTAAATATTCTACTAAAACAATATTTGTTTTAAAATAATATTTATCAATAATTATTAAGTAATAAGGCTTTTTATTAGTTATCAATCATATTCATTTTTCATATAATTTATCATAATAATATAGATTTTGGTATATTTATACATTTTTATAATTATATTTATATCTATTTTTGTAATTTTTTATTTAATCGCTATTGCTTTTGCTTGTCAACCAGTCATAAATCTCCCGCATACACACTCATTTTTAAACACTAAACCAATCGTTCAAAACACATAATAACGCTTGAAACTACAACCGTCTGCTTCCGCAAACTCCTACAATCGCAACCGCAACTGCTGCGTTTAAACCAGTCATGCCTTTATTTTAAACTATGGTTTCTCCCTGACTTTATCATCTCTAACTTTCACACAAAATTAGAATATGTTACATAAGTCCCACCAAAAAGCTACAGTGACACTACTAATTAATAAACTTTATACTCTCTTGTTCTCCAAGAGTAGATTTACCATTTACACATCTATTATTATTATATTGTAGTAGTGAACGAGATTTTCTATCGAGTATGCATATTAAAAGGATATTCCTGAGAAATGTTTTGAAAGTTTCTATGCGAAATTGATGCCTTCCATATCAAACAAATTGTGTCCTTTGTATATAATATGGGATTGGAAAAACTGTCAAATCATGTCTTATTAATATAGCAATGAATCATGAGAATAAAGTAACAAATCACAAAAACAAAGCATGGTCAACCTAAGAATATAACCTACTTAAAATTAAGCAAAAAGAAAATCATAGAGATGAATGTATCCAATCACCTATTAAATTAGAGTTTGGTTTCATGAAAAATAATATACCATTCTCAAAATAAAAAAAAAGATAAAAGATCTAAGAAGGTAGAAAAGACAATGGCAAAGTGGTTTGCGATCATATTGATAATGATGGTGGTGACTGTTGTGGTCATAATAGAAGCTGCACAAGAAGAAAATGGTTGGATTCTTTGTACCCGTCTATGTTCTAGTCCTTGCTGCGATAACGATAGCAATTGCTTCGAAAGCTGTAAAATCAAATGTGGTGGCCCTGTCCCTCCCTTAATTGTTGAGGTCACAACAAAAGCTGGAGAACAAGACAATGATTGGACTCCTTGTTTCCGTGTATGTTGTAATCATTGTCGCGTTGACGACGACAATTGCTTCGAAAGCAGTAAAATCAAATGATTTTATTAAAATGCTTGAGAACAAAGGAGAGAAAGGATACTAATGAGATTATGTGAGACTCCGGTTTGCAGAGATGTTGAAATGAATTGATTTGGTCACTTATGTCACCAAAGTGCACTTATGTTTTGGTCAAGGGTCCTGAGGGGACTTCGGAGTTAAGCGTGCTTATGCTGGAGTAGTCAAAGGACGGGTGATCTCCGGTAAGTAAATGACGGAACTGTGTGACTGAGGCCAACACACATAGAAAGTTCATTTGGTGATTTGTAGAATCGATAAAAAAGTGTTTAAAACCTCCCGGACGTAGCAGACCGGCCCTCAGAAATTGATGGGCTCATGGGCCTAATGAGATGACATGAGGCCCATTAAGAGAGGTGGACCCATGGGTTGAGAGTGAACATGGCCTACAAGAGTGGTGACGGTCAGGGCGTTACAACTGGTATCATAGCCGAACCCAGAAAAGTGTAGTGTAGTGAGCTCACACTGTCATGGGGTGACGGTCTTGGTGAGCAACGAGGACGTTGCGGCCTGTTCATGGGGGAGAATTGTGAGACCCCAGTTTTCTAAGAGGTTTAAATTAATTGATTTGGACACATGTGTCACTAAAGTGCACTTATCTTTTCGTTCAAGGGTCCTGAAAGAACTCTAGAGTTAAACGTGCTTATGCTGGAGTAGTCAAATGATGGGTGACTTTCCGGGAAGTGGTACTGTGTGAGTGAGGCCAAAACACAGAGAACGATCATGTGGTGATTTATAGGGTCGGTAAAAAGTCATTAAGCCACTAGGACGTAGCAGACCAACCGTCGGATATGGATGGGCTCACTGGCATAGTGAGAGAACATGAAGCCCATTAAGGGAGGTGGATCCATGGGTTGAGAGTAAACTTGGGGCCCACTAGAGAAGTTACAGCTGGAGCGTTATAGATTACTTTACTTGTATATCTATTGCATAACATATATGCCTCTGTTTTGTATTTAGGCCCATACGTCAGAAAATTATTGTTCGCCTTTTTATTGGATTATATACAATTGGGCTGAGTAAATAAGATTATTGGGCTGGTATTCGTCCTCTACTCACGAGGCTGAGAGACTATGGTGCTAGATCTTTGCGCATCCTGCTGAATGTTAAAGTTGTTGATGCTTATAGTATTCTTGCTAGCGGCTCCCTTTCTCGTGATCCTAACTACCGCTTGGAACCACAGAGTGTTCCACCTTGATAGATTGCGTATGCGGCAAAGTCTTGTTTCTTGGGAACAGATTCAGTCATCAAGCTGTAGTTTTTTTTTTTCGTAAACGTCATCAAACTATTGTCTATATTCGTTTGTTTCACAATCTCGGGACCATCTCTTCCTAGCTTATGATTATTCTTCCCAGGTTTGGATGTTGGTCTTTTCTAGCTCTGCCCTTGACAGCGACTCTTCGCCTCGTGGTCGGAGCTGCTCTCTTGGACTCAACTCACTTCTCCGAAAGCCCCTACTCCCTTCAGAAGCTAACATCTCCAGCGATATTCTACAACATTTGGCGGCAGCGCAACAACGTTTTGCATAACTCCGAGAGTTTGTCTCCTCAAGTAATCTTCAAGTTGATCGACCGCATAATTCGTAGTATCATATCGCAAGAAGATTAAGGAAGTGTTGCCGCAAACTCATGCTTTTATGCATTTATTAACCCAAATCTTGTTTAATTATATTGTAACCTTGTTTTTATTCTTTTTAGCCAAGGCAACTCGTTTATAGATTTTTTTGTAGAACCTTAAATTTTATTTTTAATGATATTTATATATTTAGAAGAAAAAAGATAAATGATGATGTGGCGGATAATGTGGCAGATAATGTGGCGGAATGAGAAGAAAGAAAGTTAACTTTATATAATTTTTGACCCGCTCTGCGCGCGGGAGGTTTATAATTTTCGTCTTGTTATATTTTGTTATTTCATTTTTTTTTTGTTTTGTTACTGTTTTCATTTTTGTTATTTTTTCGTATGATTTTTTCTTTTTGAATTTTATATTAGTTTATTATTTAAAATTTTTTTGTTGTTTGTTTAAATTTTGATTTATTCCCAATAGTAGGTGTTAGAACCTTATATTTCATAAGGTTTCAATTCTTGTAGCCCAAGTTATTATTTTGAGTACGCCGTTTTTTTTGGTCGGCGAGACCACTGATGTGTTTTCCCTAGTATTTTGATTTTGTGTTTTAGGTTTTTTTTTCTTGTGCCTTAAATCAGTTTTGTTCTCACTTGAGGTGGCTTCGGATGACATCAATTTAGTAGTATGTCTATCTGTATAGAATAAATGTCCTTATTTTGTTTTAGACCCATAAATCAGAAAATTATTGTAAGCTTTTTAATTATATTGAATACAATTTGAATTGAATGTCGAACCATTTAATTGAAATGAAATGAAATATGCTGAGTTAATAAGACTATTTACAATGAGCTTGATGTAAAAAAATATTCAAGAGTTGAAAAGAGTGCAATGATTGTTGTAAAAATATTGTTAAGGATGTGGCAAATTTGATGTTGATAAATTACAATACCATGAATTTTGATTGAGTGGAGTATTCTTTGCCATGTGTTAAGTTTTAAGTGGCCATTAAGATTTATGATATTTTTCGCCCTAATTATTTAACTCAACTATTTCTTAATGAATTATTATATACATAAATATTCTTTGATGTTGATAAATTACAACAGCGTGAATTTTGATTGAGTGGACTATTCTTTGTCATGTGTTAAGTTTTAAGTGGCAATTAAGATTTATGATTTTTTCGCCCTAATTATTTAAACTTAATTATTTCTTAATGAATTATTATATATATACATATAATATAAATCAATAATTTATATGAAAATTCATCATTTTCAATACTTTATAGATAGATAGTACTTTTTGATAAATTTTGAAAAATGAGTATTTTTAATAAGTAGTATTTAAAAAGGGGTAATTTTGAAATTTCCCCTTTTTATTTAATTTGGACCTAGATTTTTCTTACTATAGTACTTATTTTCTTAAAACCACTATTGACTATAAAAATAAAATAAAGTTAAATTATGATGTTGAAGAGAGGTAAAAATGACATAGAGTGTTAAAAGTCAAAAAGTAGGATGTTGTAATTTTAAACAAATGTAAAAACTTTTAATAAAAAATTATGATGTGGCAGATGATATGGCGGATGATGTGGCGGAAGGAGAAGAGAGAAAAGTTAAAGATATATATATATATATATATATATTACTTAGGAAATCCACAAAACTCAAAAATCAGGTTCAATATTTAAGTGGCAAGATATATGTGTGTCATTTTCTCCATTTTGACTTCTTTTACTATAATTCATAAATATTATTTTTATATACTAATTTCCAATTAAATATATACATAATATCTGTATAATGTTTCAAAATTTTGTTTTTGATTTCCTACTTAATTTGTAATACAAATTTTGCTGATTTCACCAATAAATTTTAAAATTATATGATAACTAAAACATAATGAAATGGATATGATTTTGAATTGTAGCAAGGATTGGTCAATTATACATAGTAGATCATTCCCATTTCAAGATAAAACGTAAACATGCATAATATGATACTTTTCTTAATAAAGCATGTCCTTCAAAAGCAAATCATCATATATTTTTCTTCTTTCGCTATTTTGTGTTATGTGAACCAAAATGTTTTTACTCAAGAGTTTTCTAGACTCAATGGACTAGTCTCCAACAAATACTCAAGAATCTCTTATAAAACTTTCTCTAAGTATAACACTAACACACGCTCCCATTACATGCGTGAGATTTAACAATTAACATAATCACACCAACCATAAACAAGAGAGAGACATATATATTGACTTTTCACACCAACGTGCGTCCATGCAAATGAGCCTTTTCAACACACACGAGTCACGAGTGTGCATATAAATCTTTATATCCTTACAAATAAAAATGCGTGTACAAACTTATAGGTATCAAAAACAAAAAATGGGTGCAAAAACTCATAATTCTAGAGGGAAAATATTCATGATCTATCTAATACTAATCTCATTATCACTTTTTGGTTTGATCTTACCTTTTAAACCTCTTTTAAAGATCACTTCTCCATCTTCAACGTTACGGATTAATCTCCCTTCTCCTCAAGTAAGCCAAAACCCGAAATGGCTCCGACTCGTCCGTGACTATCTACCGGGAAAGAAGATCCAAGTCGGCTTCCTTAACCTCGAAGAGAAAGAGCGTGAGAGCTACGAGGCTCGTGGACCGTCGATACTAAAGAACGTCCACGTGTCGCTAGATCCTTTACCGGAGAATGTTACTTGGAAGAGTCTTTACCCGGAGTGGATCAATGAAGAAGTTTCAAACTGTCCGGAGATACCTCTCCCTAAGCTACAAGGTTCTGATGTTGACGTGGACGTTATTGTTGCTAGAGTTCCATGTGATGGATGGTCGGAGAATAAAGGGGTTAGAGATGTTTTCAGGCTTCAGGTTAACTTGGCCGTGGCGAATCTAGCCGTTCAGAGTGGTATGGCCATGGGAAGGGTTGATGCAACGGTGTACGTTGTGTTCATTGGCTCATGTGGACCTATGCATGAGATCTTTAAGTGCGATGAACGAGTTAGGCGGGTTGATGATTACTGGGTGTATAAGCCTTATATCCCAAGGTTGAAGCAGAAGCTTCTCATGCCTGTTGGTTCATGTCGCATTGCTCCACCATTTGCTCAATTTGGTAAGTTATTATTTTTTTCCCCTCTCTATGTTTGGTAAAATATATTATTTTATTAAATTTTTCATAACATATATTTGAAATATTATCTCACCATTTCTTTCAGAAAACGTAGATAGTAATCGTTTAGAGTATTTTTTTTTTTCTCTTCATTTTACATTTTTATAGAATTTCCACTATTAATTAATCATTTTATGTGATTAATATGCTCTTTTTTTATATAATATGCTTTTTTTTTTCTTGGTGAAGTTTCTTTAGGAGAGGTGTTTTGGTAGATCATATATTGCTAACACGTACTTTGTTTTTAAATGAAAAGTTGGTATATAAAGTAATAGAAGGTTAATGGTTGGTGCAATTAGATCGTGCATCACAGTATGCATATATAGTTTTGTTGACGTGATCTTAACATTGATTCTTCTGCATATTTAAATTAAATAGCATAAACATTAGTTGTGTCGTCCCACATAAAACCACTAACATTTTTTGTCAAAGTTTTTATTAAAACTAAAATTCTTTGTGTTTTCAATTACTTGACATTGACGCTTTTGTTTAGCTAGATAACATAATTGTATGAAACGTCTCAAATTTTTATGATAAATTTTTTACAACAAATTTCAATTGTATATAGTCAATGTGGAACCTAAAATATATATGTCTATACTAATTCATAAATTATCATACCCAGTTTTTAAATTAAGTGGGAATTGAAAAGCTTAGCTCTAACAACTTTATACCCTACTTGTTCACCATATTTTCCTCGTTTTACTCTTTCTTCTCATTCATTCATTTATCAAAATATTCCTTAATCGTTATCTCACTTGTAAATTTTAAACTATTGTCATTTACAGGGCAAGAAGCATGGAGACCAAAAACTGATGTCAAACTTGCATCCGAGGCATCCATAGCCTTACCTCGTCGCTTACGAGTGGCCTACGTGACAGTACTACACTCTTCAGAAGCCTATGTTTGTGGAGCAATAGCCTTAGCGCAAAGTATAAGACAATCAGGATCTCATAAGGACATGATTCTCCTCCATGACCACACTATAACCAACAGGTCTCTTATCGGTCTAAGCGCTGCGGGATGGAATCTCCGGCTGATCGATAGAATCCGCAGCCCTTTTTCGAAAAAGGACTCTTACAATGAGTGGAACTATAGCAAATTACGTGTGTGGCAAGTAACTGACTATGATAAACTTGTGTTCATAGACGCAGATTTCATCATCCTCAAGAAACTTGATCATCTCTTTTACTATCCACAACTCTCAGCTTCAGGCAATGACAAAGTCTTGTTCAACTCAGGAATCATGGTAATAATCCTGCCAATACTAGTCAAAATTTTATTTTATTTTTCGATAAATTGATATGGTCACATACATATGTTGACGCATTTGGCCTAAAAAACCTAGGTTTAATATTTAAAGTTTCACTTGAATATAATATTTTGAAAAAAAATTTCTTGGCATCAGGTTCTTGAGCCATCAGAATGTATGTTTAAAGATCTAATGGAGAAATCGTTCAAGATTGAGTCATACAATGGAGGAGACCAAGGATTCCTCAATGAGATATTTGTATGGTGGCACAGGCTACCAAAACGTGTGAACACAATGAAGTACTTTGATGAGAAAAGCCAAAGAACACATGATCTTCCAGAGAATCTTGAAGGTGTGCATTACTTGGGATTGAAGCCATGGGTATGTTATAGAGACTATGATTGCAATTGGGACATGAGCGCGAGGCGCGTGTTTGCAAGCGATTCGGTGCACGAGAAATGGTGGAAAGTGTATGACAAGATGTCAGATCAGTTGAAGGGTTATTGTGGTTTGAATAAGAATATGGAGAAGAGGATTGAGAAGTGGAGAAGAATTGCTGAGAATAGTAGTTTGCCTGATAGGCATTGGGAGATTGAAGTGAGAGATCCTAGGAAGAAGAACCTTCTTGTTCAATGAGAAGGTTTTAGCTTTTGTTGATTTTTTTGATTCTTAAGAAAGGGTTTTGCTTTAGTATTTTTTAAAGATTTCTAGGGGGAATTTATGGTACGACAATGTACAATGTAATCTTACTTTCAGGGATGATATGTGAATGTGAAAGACAGCAAATGATCCTTTGAATTTCACATTATTATTTTTCTAATATAGTCTTTCAATGATGTTTAAATTAATTATTGAAATCTCTATGTTATTGATTTCAAGATTCTTTAAGAAGAGATGTGTCTCTTGTGATTTAGTGATATCATGTAATTAAGAAACATATATATATAAGATCGTAACATGCTTCCAAAACGAAAACTTGAAATCAAGCACATCAGCGAGTAATATTGGAAGGACTAAACAAGCCATTGACATGCTACATCAAAGGAATCACAACTTTTCTTATTACAATTGGATTCAAGAAACCATACATTGGAAACAAAAATTTGAATCAGTCAAATTTTGTTGGACACCAAGATCAAACAACAAAGTTGATGACAAAAAAAATGAAAAAAAACAATCAAACAACAAAGCAGTAGATATTTTGGCCAAACAATAATCAATTTCTGATCAATTGATGAGAGTAAAGAACACAAAAGTGTTTAGAGGAAGAATTATATTAGACTCTCATAAATATAATGCTACATAATACATCGATATATATAGTGATAGGAGTAAACCTAATTTTCTAGACTGAGATAATGACTAATATAAATAATACATTTCTACATAAATGTAAATATCCTAAATAAGAGGATCTAGATTCTTTCAAATCTACATAATTTCCATATTCTTGAGCAATCTTCTCGACCGTCGATCTCGGTCAATCTCGGTCAATCTCCGGTCTCTATCTCTCAATAATTTCTTTTTCACTACTTTGTATCCCAGTTTCTGATTAATTCTTTGCATTGTAATCATGTACAATAAAGTCTAAAGAAGATGAGAGGTACTAATAAACCAACTAACCTTGATTCTGTTGTATCTTTCTAGAGCCAGATCCACCATGTTCTGCATGACCGAACGGCCTGTAAGTCCAGCGTTCCAAAATGGTTTATCAAGATCAATGGGAACGAGTGGTCGGTACATCACACTCCCAGGGTAGTTTTCTCGATCCACATGGAAACCCTGGTGAGGAAGACAACATTGTTACTATCACAAGACCAATGTTTTCATCCAAATCTCAAACTAAAACAAATCAGTCCTTAAAGAATGAAATTGATAAAGAGACATTATAAAAAAAAGTTAAAGCAGGAAGAGTAAAGACCTTGCTACGGTACATCTGAGATCTATATCGATCCATCTTTTGACCTATCTCATCGTTGGGATCCAGATTCCGTTTGGGTCTGTAATCGAATCCATCGTCGAAACTATCAACGTCCCATTCTTGGCCCTCTTCGCAGCTAGACACGTCGCTTGCCTCCCTATCACCTTCTTCTTCGTCGTACTCCATCATGTCATCATCATCATATTCCAAATCACCAGAAGAATCAAACGGGGACTGCAGAGAGCCACCATCAAAAGATTATTTTTTTCGTTTACAATTTACGCAGCCACTCACGTATTAACACCTGGCAGAGGAACCCTCTCTTAAAAAGTCCTAAATAAAACATGAATACCCCTCGTAATTTCACTGTTTGTTTATTTTGGCCTTTTTAATTGGGTTAAGGCCCCTAAAGATGTAGCGATAAAGATGGCCTTGCCATTATATTGTTACAAACGCGTATAAAAATAATAATATTTTTCAATACAAATTTATTTTTAAATTTAAATTTTAAATAATGAAAAAACAGACCAATAATCTTCAAGTCATCTTTAAAGAACTCGTCTCACCACTTATTACTTTCTCTCTCTTCTTAATTAATTATTTTAAGAAAATATTAATTATATATATGTCCTTATTTAATATGTATTTAATAGATTAATTAATTTTAGTTTAAAGATAAAATTAAGAAAATTTAGTGTTAAAAATGTATTGAAAATCCAAAATGACACTCTTTGCAAAATAAAGGGCTAGTAATTAATGACTAGACGCACTTTATATTGGAGAGGAGGGTGAAAGAGAAGAGGGGAGAGAAGAAGAACATGCAAGAGCATGCACAACCCCACACTCATGCAAAATTTTTTGAAAATTTCAAAAGCAATAAATGCAAGAATGAAGGTAAACGATAGAAAATGGACCAAGGCAAAATGATGGGACTTGGACCCACAAATTTAGCTTGGTAAAACCACCCCCACTCGTGAGAGATACTAAAAAAAGGAAAAAGTATTATTTAATTTACTTAATTTTAATTATAGTTTTTTTAGGGCTGCCTATATATGGATCCACCTATATTTTAGCACTCTACCCAATTCCACATGAACAATTTTTTTTGCTTCCCAATTCCACCTAAACTACATAATTCCACTTAATTAACCAAAATCGATTAAGCTGTTAAATATCCTTAATTTACGTTTTAAAATCTTAATTTCGCGTTTACTGTTCCACGATTGACTAAACCCGATTTGAGTTTTTGAACCCGAATTATAATCATTAAAACCCTAAATTCGAAATTGGGCTTTTTTGTTCTTCCTCTCCATCGATTCTTCTTCTTCTCTTTCGACTTTCTCTTTGACCTTGTTGATCGAAATCTTCTTCTTCATCGACTCTTCTTCTTCTTCTTCTCTTTCTACTTTCTCTTGTGTTGATTGTATGCGCGCGGATCCCCTACGGATCGGGTCAGATTTTCAAACTGATTTAACAACTTTACTTAAATTATCCCTCTTAATTTCAATAAAAGTTCTCTTTTTCAATAATTGATAGGTAATTTGGGAAATTTTAACCATAATTTTGCAATGTCAAATTGTACTTCTCTTTCAATATATAAGAGGATACATTCCAATTTCTTATTACATTAACAATATTTTTTATATTTTAATGTCCAAAATTGCTATATATTATTAAACGAGTCGGGCAAATTTCTCGGATTGTGGAGTCCGTTTTTATCCAACAATCGATATAGTTACGTTAAAGAATTTATAAAAACTCTTTTATCGAATCTATAAGTCACCATATAATATTTCAGGTTTTGTTTTTTTTTTTTTTTTTGGTATAATACTAGCAATCACTTTCTGAAAGATTATTCATTCTATAGTCTATAGATTACGCATTTACCGCCATATCACTTGAAATAAAAATGTTACAATTGAACTACAAGTTTGAAAATATTTTACATAAGACATCGTCACAAAAGTTAGACCAATTCAAGAGTCCAAGTAAAAATTTCTACGAGAAAGTATATATTAAATTACGTATACGTGTTTACTGAAATTCCATATAAAAATCAATAGTTATCTTCGTCAGAAATTTAAGATTAACGACGTAACCTTAGTGCACTCCCTCTACATTTAAATACAGACTTAACATCTTACAAAACTTAATTAAAGAGTTTACTTAACATCTTGAGATCCAAGAAAGATCGATGTACATGGCAATTCGGTTAATAACATTGATGTTTCTCCTGTTCGTGGCATCAACAAACACAGTCTCCGCTCGATTACAATACGTTCACAAATCTCATAATACAAGTAAGTATCTAGCTAGTTATGAGAAATATCTTCTTTTGTCTCTTAGTTCGGTTACTTAAAAAAATTGTATTTAAAGATTTGTTTTGTTGAACTATACATAACAGAAAAGGTTTGGGATCAAAATGGCCTAGTCTTCGAGATCAAGGGTTCTGTAAACCCAAGTATTTCACCACCTGGAGGCCAAGGAGCTTCACCTAGCGGCCAAAGAGGTCCACCTAGTCCTTGAGGCCACAGAGCCAGACACTAAGACCAACATTAGATACCCTCTAGTGTAAATCTTATGGCTAAGATCCTACCAATAATGTTGGTCTAAAGACTACCTATCTTGTAAAGATTTGCTGTCATCGTTAAATCTTTTCTTTAATTTGCATGCCATGTCCCTTTCCTTTCCCTTTCTTTGCATTAACATTGAAAACAAAAATTTAGCTTATTTGTTACCATTACTTTGCTATAAATATTTAGTATATGTTTTTTTTTTTGTTAAATAATATTTAGTACTCCCTCTGTTTCTAAAAAGTTTATGTTTTGGCTTTTTCATACATGTTAAGGTAAAATTAAACAATTTTTTGTGAATTAATTTCTAATTACTTTTTGTTAGAAAGAGAAAATATAAACCATTAGATTACTGACATGTGGAAAAAAGATTAAAGTAGAAATATAGTTTTGGTTTTTTAATCTACAAAATCAATCTTTTAGAAACAATTTTTTTTTCTAAAACATCAAACAATGTGAAATAGAGGGAGTATATGCTATGTTATATAATTTAAAATGGGTTAAAGTAAGATTTCTAAAAATAAAAATTGAAGTAACGTTGAGTAGATTTCAACAAAAAAAAAGTTTGAGTAGATAACCACGATGTATACTGTCAAAATTTTTGTAAAAATCAAACTAATTTGTATATATTGTGCAATATAATTTCTTATTAACTTAAAAATATCTTGTATATACTTTTAGGTCTAATTACAAATCTCTTAATTATAAACGAGTCATCATATTGGAAAAAAACCGAGTCATCATAATATCTTTTTAAAGAAGACGCATTCAACAGTGTGATATTACCACTTGTAAGTTTTTTTTAATCGTCTTTAGATTTATTAATTATTGCAAATTATGAGAATTATTACAAAGATAATCTACCTTGGGTAATTCCTTCCGACCCTATTAGATTCACTATTGACAACACTCCTTTGTTGATTTTGAACGCCTTCTTCTCCATGCTGATCTTGAACGCCTTCTTCTCCATGCTGATCTTGGACATCTTCGTCAATAGCTGGAATCACGGCGAACGGCTCTAATTGTGCATCACTAGAGATCTCCTGTATACTTATCTCCATTAATATGTTGAAACATTAATAAATCGCGCTATCTGGGGTTCAAACCCCAGACCTCTATATATATATATGTAATTCTAATCAAAATATCATATTTGTTTGACAAATATTATTTATTCATTGTTTGAGGTTAAATCAATCTGAAACATTTAGTTGAAGAGAAAGTTTTTTGAGTTTTTTTTTCATGTTGATATGTTTTGGATTAACAAAACTTGACCACTGTGGGATAACGAGGTTTGTCAAAGTATAACTGTCATAGCTAGAGAGAAAGCTGTTTTATGAATCGCTAATCATTTGACCAAGTCATTTCTCTAATTTTTGAGTTACATAATAAACAATTGAATGTGATATGATGAACTATAAAGTTTGAAAACATTATACGGAAGGACGACAGAAAATGTCTTAAAAAGGAAATATATATGATCGCTATTACTAACAAAATAATTTTTTGACTCTTGAATTTGTCAAATTATATTATTTTGACTCTTGAATTTGTCAAAATATATTATTCTGTTAGTACTGTTTTTTTTTTGCTAAATTGTAAATATCATTTAGAAATGAAAGGTAGGTGTTACAGTGAAACAAAACCTACGAGATTGGTCCTTGTCAAAAAAAGTGGAAAACCAAGGAACAATTAAACAAACTACTAATCAAAGGATAAATTTGGATCTTCCAGAATGTCATCGTAGCCAAACCGACATTAATTTCTTGAACTTCTTCATACGCTTCCTAGCTGTGAGTGAGTTTCTAATGAGCCGGTCAATATCTTTGAAGATGGTAAGCGGCGGAAGTCTAATCTGATTATGAACCAAGTTGTTGCGCTGACGCCAGACCGTGTAAACCAACGTGTGGATAATCAAAAGACGCAGAGTATGGGGAGAACTTGCATTTCCCTCCTTTACCCAATCCATCATTTCATTCCAGTCAACAAAGTTGGGATTTGAGATTTGAAGCTTGGAGAAAATGAGAGACCATACCATCTTGGTGTAAGGGCATTCAATGAACAAATGGAGCCTACTTTCAACAGAAGCGGAACAGAGGCAGCATATTGTGGACACTTGCAAACCCCAAGATGCTAGTTTTGACATAGTTGGCAACCTGTCGAGATTTGCAATCCACATATTGAAAGCGTGGCTCGGAGTAGAGCCTTTAAACCAAACTAACTTCGCCCAGCTTTTCACAGAGCTCCTTGGTCTAAGAGCCTCCCACAATTTAGCTGCATTGTAGTCAACACAGGCCTTATCGTCTACAAACCAATAGTAGGTATCCTCATCATCTGTGGCTTTGGGAAGTGAGACCGTGGAGAGGTGAACTTGAAGGTCGTAGGCCTGGTCAGAACGGGGCGGAGGCAGAAGCCAACCGTCATTATTAAAAGCACTAGAAACTTTTGCGTGAAGAGGGATTCTTAGGGCTGTAGGACCAGTATCTCCTAGGAGCTTTATCAGCGGTCCTAAGGTTGTCCAGTGATCAAACCAGAACCAGGCCAGCGACCCGTTTCCAATATTACACCTTATGAACTTCTCGGCTAGGCTTCTTAACTTTAGCAACCTTCCCCAAATCCAAGAATCTGCTGATTTTGCTGTCATTGCCCAGAAACTCACTCGGTCCAATTTGTGGTGATGGTTCTGCCATGCAACCCACAGAGAGCCGCTTTTTGAAAAGAGAGACCAGATTAACTTCAAGCATAGAGTTGTGTTCCAAACTGAAAGCTTCCTGAGACCCAAACCTCCTTCCCATTTAGGGAGACAAACCGTAGACCACGCAACCTTTGCTTTGGAATGATTATCCGTTGTTCCTGACCACAAAAAGTTTGAGCAAAGCGATTCGATTTTTCTGATGCAACCTTTAGGCAGTAAGAAAGTAGACATCCAGAAGTTCACTGTTCCGTAGATGACAGAAGAAATAAGCTGCCGCCTACCCGCAAAAGAGAGAGATTTAACTGTCCAAGCTCTGAACTTATTAGAGATCTTGACAATAAGGGGAGAGTATTCATGAATCCTTAGCTTCCGGCACATAAGAGGGAGACCAAGGTACCTCACAGGAAGATTTCCAGCAGGAAAACCATAGTTGCTGATGGTTGTCGTCTCAGTAAGGGACAGACCTGCGTGAAAGAGCAAAGTTTTCTCCCTGTTCATATGCAGCCCAGACCAGCCAGCAAAATCCTCAAGGGTTTCATAAATACCGTGGAGGGAAGAGCTGCTTCCATCAAAAAATATCATCACATCGTCAGCAAACATCAGGTGGGATATTTGCACCTCTGAAGTCCTTGGATGATACGAGATATAACCGGAGTCAAATCTGGATTTCAACAGCTTAGAGAAAGAATCCATGACCAGGACGAAGAGATAAGGTGAGAGAGGATCCCCTTGTCTGAGCCCTCTGGTACTTTTGAAGAAACCATCAGATTTCCCGTTCAATGAAATGGAGAAAGTGGGAGTACACATGCATTCTTTAATCCAGCCGATGAATCTGCCCGGTAAGTTCAGAGCTTTCAGAGAAGACAGAACAAAGTCCCATCTTACCGAGTCAAAAGCTTTCCTGAGATCGATCTTAAGCATTGCTCTTGGGGTGATGTTTGCTCTGTTATAACCTTGCACTATTTCTGTGGCCAACAAAACGTTTTCTGATAATAACCTGCCCGAAAGGAACGTAGACTGTTCCAGGGAAATGACTGACGGTAAGAGAACTTGCAGACGAGAAGCAAGAAGCTTTGAGATGACCTTGTGCACCGTGTTTAAGCAAGAGATAGGGCGGAAATCAACCACTCTAGAAGCATTTTGAGACTTAGGGATAAGGACAAGAGAAGTAGCATTCCATTGCTTGAGAATCTGCCCAGAGGAGAAGAACTCAGCAACTGCAGCGCACACTTCCGGACCAATACAAGACCAGCAAGAAGTGAAAAATTCTGCTGAAAAACCATCAGGTCCACTCGTCTTGTTCTTGGGGAGAGAGAAGAAAGCCACTTTTATATCTTCAATGGAGAAGGGAGCATTAATCTGGTCTCTCTGAGCTGCAGAGCAAGAGAAGTTAAGGAGAGAACTTATATCGTCATGGTCGAATAAAGGAGCGGGCTCTTCGCTTCCCAGTAACTCTTTGAAGAAAGTAATACAATGCTTATGGATTCCTTGCTGACTCTCTATATGATTTCCCCCTTCATCAACCAGAAAGTGGATGTGGTTGGAGGCTTGTCTTGCTGATGCCATCTTATGAAAGTAGGAGGAGTTCTTGTCACCCTCACTTAGCCAAGTGATACTAGATCTCTGGCAAAAGAAAGACTCTTCCGCTTCAGCTAAAATTGCCCACTTTCTAGTAGCTTCCAACTCTAAGGTGGCATTAGCAGCTGAAGGATCTAATAAAAGCTTGCACTGAATATCCGATAGGACCTCACTAGCTTCCACCACCCTTTTCTCCAAATCAGAGTAGTTAACTCTGCTGAAGTCCTTTATGATCTTCTTTAGCGTTTTAAGTTTGAAGGATAGGCGGAACATTTCTGAACCCGCAACATTTATAGTGAACCAGTTATAACAGATTAAGGGCAGGAAGTCAGTGTTCTTGAGAAGGTAGTTGTAGAATTTGAACGGCTTCTTTTGTCTCTGCTGACCTGATGAAAGGCTGAGACAGCTAGGAGAATTGTCTGAGAATTGAGAAGCACCAAAAAAAGCTGTAGAAAGAGGAAACTGGGACTGCCATTCATCATTTACAAGGATCCTGTCAAGCTTCTTTGCCACTGGGTTTGCTTTTTGCTTGTTCCACCAAGTGAAGGAACATCCCCTAAACGTGAGGTCACTAAGGGAAGCCTGCTGGAGTGCATCACTGAAATCTCTAGTGGCCCTGTCCATGTTGAGAGTGGGAGGGGAGGAATGCTCAGAAGGTTGCAGAATCTGGTTAAAATCACCAAGCACAACCCAAGGGACCCCTAGAACTCTGGAGTCTGAAGCCAGCGTAGCCAACTCATCCCAAAGTTGCCTTCTTACCGTCTCGTCATTCGAAGCATAGACACAAGAGACAATAAACTGGGTAGGGTTGTCGGGAAAAAAGACTGCGCATGTGATCATTTGCAGTGAAGAAGCTATAGTCGTCACTTTCACGCTTGCGTGCCAAAAGATCCAAATTTTTCCTAAGTCAGAATAGTTATAATTATCCGAATAAGACCAGCCCGGCAAAATAGCATTGATGAACTTACTCATCTTCTGCTGCTTGACATGAGTCTCTATAATACTTCCAAAAAATGGTCTGCTGCTTCTAAGCCACTTTTTTAATCCGCTTCTATGGGATCTCTTATTAAATCCGCGGACGTTCCAACAAAAAATGTCACTATACATATATTAATGAAGTTTGAGGCCAAAGCCTCGAGAGTTCCTCCGATTTTTCTTCGAGACAACTTCCAAGTACTCGTGTTCTTCTTCTAAGGGCGAATCAGGGTCCTCCTCCTCACTAGAACTGATATCAGAAGAGTCTGAATCTGCCTCAGAGACCTTTGGAGTTGACTTTGCAGAGCCAGGGGAATCTTTCGCTTTTCCCTTAGAAGAAGTGACAATGTTTCGCGCATTTTCACTAGCGATCACAGAATGATGGGGAGGGATCGCTGAAGAGGATGGAGCAGATGCTCCTTTAGCAACGTATGAAAAACCTTTCGGAGTAGTAATGGTTGCGGGAAGAGGGTTGGAAATTGGAGGGATCTCTTCATTCCGAATCTCTGGGACTCCCGCCACAGCTGTACTCCTCGCCTTTTGTGGCAGCCTTGTCCCATTTCCTTTAATTCTAGGGCAGCTAGCTACAAGATGAACTGTGGAGCTACAATTTGAGCAAGTAGAGGGGGCGGTCTTACATCGCTTTAGACTGTGTCCAACCTCCTTACAGTGAGAGCAGATTGGTGGCATCCATGGACTAGAGACTGAGACCCTTCTTATCTCACCTGATTGAAACTGAACATTTACACCTTCCGGGAGTGGCTTTCGCGGGTCAATGAAAGTGAAGACCTTTGCGACCTCCAAGTTTGACTTGTTTATTGTGTCCGGATGAAGACAATCAGGGTGCCCAACCAGACCTGCAATGTGCTCAAGTCCCTCCTCATTGAAGAATTGAAGCGGCACATTACGCAATTCTAACCAAATAGGAGCAATGGTTAGCTCTGGCGTAACCGGAGCCATGCCTGGTTCCCAGTCAGCAACAAACATGGTTTGTCCGTCGATTTTCCACAGTCTCTGATTTAGCACTCGACGGCGAGTCTGGACATTTGGAATGCGGAAGAGGTACGCATTTCCTTCCAGCCTTGAGACCGAGATATCTTTGAATTGCCGGCTCCAGAACCCATTCACGATCGTGTGGACGAGAGCTTGCGGCGGAGGATCGGCGTAGAATTGCCCAATGATGAACGACTCCCATGACTTCTGATGCTTCTCAATAACAGAGTTTGGTATTTTAACACAAACTTCACCGTTCGGCAGAGTAAAGGGGACACCTTTCTTAGACAACTTTCTGGTAGAACCTTTGAAGAGACCAACCCACTCATTGCTCGGGGTAGGAGTTGAAATCGTTGGAGCTGCTGGGGTCGAAGTCGTCGCGGCCTCAGAGTTAGATACAGAAACAATCGCTTCAACGGGAGAAACTATCGGATCGGAGACTGATGGAGTTATTTCGGGTTCGACTATTCCTGCGCCTAGGTCTGACGAGCCAGGTGCTAGAGATTCAACTATGGCTGAGCTTGTCTCGATGACTGGAGCTGAGGCATTCTTCGAAAGATTCTCTATAGTATTCGATTTAGCTTCTGAACCGGCCGAAATACACAAACCTAGGTCTGTCGCTACGGCGGAATTGGCAACTTTTATGGCTGAGACTGTCTTCTGGACCAGATCTGAGGCATTACACTTAGGAATTGATGACTGAGACTCTGAAGCGGGCACCGAAGAAGGACTAACCTCCGTCGAGACCGGAGAGCTCATCGCTGGAGAGACGGAACCTTGCGGCGGTGAATGGGAACCCGAAGGTTTTCTTTTGATCTTTTTTGTCTTCCCCATGAGGAGGGGAGGGCCTGGGGGCAAGAGAGGGAGGGGATTCCGACGCCGTGAGAGACGCCGGAGGTGAGATGCGAAGGAAGTCAATTTTCCTCTTTTCGTCTTACTGTCCTTGAAAAAAGGTGTTAGTACTGTTGGTATTTTGTAGTTGTGTTCGTGTACATAGAAAGGGAAGTTTGAAAAAAGTATACACGGAATTTTCGAAATTCATTAGTTTTCTTTGTTGAAATTCAAGATTTACGACGTAAACTAATTAGTGCACTTTCTCTACATTTAAATACAGACTTAACATCTTTTTTTGTCTCTTTGTATTTTAAATAACATCTTATTTTGTCTATCAATAACAGAAATGGTTTGGGATCAAAACAAGTTCGAGATCAAGGCTAGTGTAAAACAAAGTCTTTCACAACGTGGAGGCAAAGGAGAAGTTCCACCATAGAGACAATAGTTAATTGGTATGTTGATATCGATTCAGATTTTAAGGTTTTTAACCCATCTTATAAGTTGTAACGCTTCTTATATTGTATCAAGAGATTTGGTTATTAAAATACCGAGAACTTATGAAGAGAAATCTGAATCTTGTATTACAATTAAAAAAAAAACATCATTAAGTAAAAACGATGAGCCATAAAAGTATATGCATCTAGCGTGCATAAATAAGAGAAGGCAACTGGCCACAAATATATTCTTGAACAAAACAACCAACAAAATATGTGACATGATAATCACTAGCTACTCTAAAATCGTAGAATTGGTTTGGGATCAAAACATGTTCGAGATCAAGGGTAGTATAAACCCAAGTCTTTCACAACGTGGAGGCCAAGGAGAAGTTCCACCATAGAGACAATAGTTATTTGGTATGTTTATATCGATTCAGATTTTAAGGTTTTTAACCCATCTTATAAGTTGTAACGCTTCTTATATTGTACTAAGAGTTTTGGTTATTATGTTATACAGTAGAATTTATAGTTGGTTAAACAATTTTAAAAAAAAAAAATACAAATTGAGAAAACATTTAATAATAGAAAATTGTTAATCTAAATCCCTGTTTAAAAAATCTCTGTCTAAGTCCGATTACTCCCCGTGTAATCGCTAGGACCACCCTATCCACTTTGATTAATGACTAATCCACGTCTAACCTCATCAAGAAGAATGGGGAAAGCGAGCTAATTCTCAGGATATTGCACTATCGAGACTAACTCTGCACATTATATTTTGAAAACATTACAATTTATTGTTCTTGCGAGTATGCTCTTCATAACCCATATTAAAGCTTACATCTCCAAGTGAAGAGACGAGAGACGCACTCCATGAAATTTTGCTCATAAAAACACCACATTTACATCCCCCTGAACACAAATACATCTTAGTCCAATAAAATGATCAGTTGAAGTGATCTTATTTCTTTTAAATGATCTTGAGAGAATGAGCTAGTTCTTTATCTTTTGTGTGTGATTTACCAAGACTAAGTTCTATGAATGATTTGTTCATAATTTACACACACTTGTACAAGTTGTTTTTTTCAAAGAGAGAAAAAATCTTTTGTTACCATATGTCATTGTTCTATCAACAATATCTCAAATGTTCTCTTGATATTACACTCGTTTTCCAAATTTTTTTAGAACCTTAGAGAATTACATTGCGTAAACCAATGACTAATGCTGTTTTTTACTTACTTGAAGTCACTTAGGGTATGCCAGCATAACCAAAACACCTAGGCATCTCAGCATTAGAGGTAGATGAAAAAGAAAAAACAGCACCATGAGTCCATGAAACAATTATGCAAGCAAATCCTAGTAAAAAGTGTAATACCCCGGCGTCATCATATATGGTGATGCATGCAGAGAGGTTTAAAAGGATTGATTTGACCGCCAATGTCACCAAAGTTCGCTTATCTTTTTGGCAAAACATACAGAGCAAACTACCTAGTTAAGAGTTATTATGCTGGAGTAGTTTCAAAATAGGTGACCTTCCAGGAAATTATTATCGGAACCGTGTGAGTAAGGAAAAAAAAGGATAAAGATCACGAGGTAAATTCTAGGGTCAGTTAAACAAGGTTTTAAAACCTCCGGGAGGTAAATAAAGAAGGCCCAGATACCTAGAGAGGATATAGATCCCAATAATAGAGATGATGGCCAGGGTTATACAAGTGGTACCAAAGATAAACCTATATGAGGGTGGAGTCAATAGATCTCACAATCTACGGGGTAACTATAATATTATCACTGTGACTAGTACTCGGACAGATGGATGACCGACGTGACCAGCCAACAAAATCCCATGATTAATTCCGCTAAAAAAAGTACAATTTTGGTTTGGTCGTTTATCAGGCTAAGGTAATGGAATAAGGAAGTACATGTAATGACCATGAATGAATTGCCATATCAAGAAGGATATTCCATCAAAATGGTATCGGAGGAAAGATTATTGGCAATGACCGTTAACTTTGTTGATAAACCTATAGGTAAAACCCTAAAAATAGTTTTAGATAACAATCGTTAGTTTGTTGAGGAAAACCTCGAATTGTTCAAAGAGAAATTAGGATTGGTCGAGGAAAGTATGTTTTTGGTAAACTGATTCGATAAAACGTTGATGTCGGATGTGGGTATTACTAGCCAACGCTCTTGGTAGCCAGACGATGGAGGCACTACCGATGCAGATTGCATCGCCAATCTGCCCGAAAGGAAACTTGGTCAATATGTTCATGCTCCTAAGCTGGCACGCTAGGAAGTAAGATATTATATTACCGCGGACTTTATACTCAATGACCGGTAACAACCGTATTGGTTATCTTGCGCATCGGTGGCTTAGGATGGGTAATTAGGTAGAATTATTTAGTTTCAGGCTTACTAAGAAGTACTGATTACTTATGACGCTACTTTATTTACAGAACATCTTAGATGAATATTCTCCATGGTGAAGCAACGTGATCATTGGGCAAATCAATGTAGGTTTTACAACTTTTGTAAATTCTTACTAAACTCGAAGTTTTGAAAGCTAAATGGTTATTCCAACTGATATTAAGTCTTGTTCGGACTTAACACAACCTCTTGCTTGCAGTGCGAGTTGCAAAACTTAGGCCGTGTCCGTAAAGTCGGAACCTTGCGGTTGGATGACTTTGATGAACGAATTCGTTTTGGGAACCTAGGTTAGCAACTACGATGGTCCTTAGTGACGCTCCCGATTCGTTCTTATTACTAGAACTAGCCGGGGGTATAATTGTGACGGTCTTGCTGCACAACGAAGACGTTGCGATCAGTTAGTGGGGGTAAATTGTAAATCCCCGGTTTATGATACTGATATACAGTAAACCTCTATAAATTAATACACTATAAATTAATAAACCTTATAAATTAATAAATTTTGCTGGTCCCGAGTCGGGCCAGTGTAAAAATTAACAAAATTTGATAGGATACTAAGATAATATTTTTTTTTGAAATCTCCATGTAAAATATAGTCCCAATAAAATTATAAATTAATAATCATTATATATACATATATATATACTTTTATTTTTCTGTAAAAATGATTTTTTTCCTAGTGTTCATCTCTATAAAGCAATTTTATACTATATTTTTAAACTTTAATATTGTAATATAATTCATAACATGTCATAAAATAACCAATTTTTTTAATCTTTCAATTTTTAAATATGCATCAAATTCATTTTTTTATTTTATAGGATGTTAAAATATAACAGTTGAGGTTATTAATCATAAATTTGTATTTATGTATACCACAAGTGAATTTATCTATAATATTTGTGATTTATTTGTCAATTTGTTTTCTTTTCAAAATATGAAATTCAATTCCAAACTATAAATTTTATAATATCTAAGAAAAGACTAATCTTATTTTTGTAAAATTACTCAATTTATAATTATTATAGATAAATTATAATAATTTTTCAAAAAGTTATAATAATTAAAAGTACCACTATAAATGAATAATTATTAATTTATACTATAAAATAATAAGGGCGATTTATACAATAAGGCACAAAAACACACAATATAAGCAGCCCACAAAAGCCTCAGCTTTTTGTCCAAAAAAGGACTATTGTGCCCCAATAAAGTTAACTGGATGGATAAGTGATTTTTAGTTAGTTTAGTTTGTTTTAACCATTAATGTTGGATCTCTTAACATATTACAAAAGCAAAAATATGAGTTTTTAAAATCTTTTTGTTCGAGAAACAACTTTTGTAGACTTTCGTTCTTGTACTTCAAAAGGCAAAAATCTGGGTTAGTGAAAAGAGCTAAGTTCTTGGTTGTTTTCACAGAGGTTTTGAATCGAGCGCAGAGCACAAAGGATAATGTCGTCTGGAACAGAGGTGAGATTTTGTAAAAGTTGTAAACGGGATGAGATTTTGTAAAAGACTGATTCTAAAATACTGATTTAATTTTTTTTTATACAAACGATTAAATAATTAATTTTTGGATGATATCCAACCCCATGGTTATGTATTTTGTGTTCAGGAACAAATGAAAAATTCACTATTGTGATCTGCGGGAGATAGCGATGTTGCGAAGAAGGGAAATGGAAGTTCGAGCTTTTGAGTTTTGAGTTTTTTGTTTTTTTTTGTTCGTTGTTACAGATCTGTATCGGTAGTGATGATCCTCTTTGTGATCATGTGAATGTGGTTTTCCTGGATACCAATGATGTATTCTGTCCAAATAATGTTTCCAATCAATCTTAAGGCTATCATGGTCTCTTGGATAAACGATTATTATCCATATGGATATGTTTGTCTAGACGTAGTACGGCTTGTTTTGTTATATATATTCGACTGAGTGTACGCAAAACTATGGACAAGTACTCCTCATCCAAGGATGGAATAGCAAAGGCGATTTCAAAAATTAATTATTGATTCGTTTGTATAAAAAAAATTAAAAGTTTGAATATAAAAAAATTTAACTAAATAAAACCTGAAAATTATGTGTGTGTATCATGAAAACTATATATTTAAACTAAATAGTAAAGGAAGGGACATGATATATCCAATATCTAAGAGACAACAAATAGAAAAGTGTAGGACATGTACAAAGAGAGAAAAAGAAAATAAAAATAATAATAATGAAATATGTAACTATTTAGTTTGAGATATTTCAATGAAATTAATAATTATTATTTGGGATATTTTAATGAAAAGGCACTTTCTCAAAAGTAATCAACATGCAGATCAATTGGTAACAGCTTCCACACTATGAGATCTTGGGTTCGAGTAACGCCAAGCGCACCAATAACTTGCCTGGTGGGCCAGGAGAGGATGTGGGCCAAGAGAGTGCCTACATGTCAGATTGGGCACAAAGGAGAGAGGTTAGAGTAGATGCGCTGCAGCGCTTGTAGCTGCAATGTGGCGGGGTGTGCCCTGTGGCAGGGGATCCCACATGACGGGTTGTTACATAAAAGTCGACTTATTTTTGTAACTATAGAGAAAATATAGTTCCATCATGGCCTTGTTTTTATAACAACCCGCGTAGTGGGATCCTTATTGTGTGATTACTTTCGAGAAAGTGCTTTTTCATTGAAATATCCCAAATAATAAATATTAATTTATAGATAAATTAATAAAATACCTTAGTCCAACATTACTAATTTATAGAGGTTTTACTGTAAAGGGGAGACGACTTACTTAAAGATAATAATTTTCTTTACTAGTTGAAGGACCTAAGCTATATTTTATGTATTGTAACTACGGCCACAAGATATTCTTTCATCATACTTTATTTGATGGTTCCTTCCATCATATCTGAGTGCTATCTATATTGGCTTTAGGATTTTCAAAAATATATAATAAATTGTTGATGTTAGATTTGGAATATTATATGTTTTGTTCTTCATTTATGGTTGTTCTTAATGCTGAAACTTGATTAGCTACATAGTTTTCAGATCTTAGGTTACTCATCTAAATATAAGAAGTGTTGTTGAGTTGCTTTATGAAAAGAACATAGGTGAGAAAAGTAATCCTTAGTGATGCAAGATTGCAATCACTCCAACTTAGGATCAAACAAAGATCAATAGATTTCAAGCTTAACTTGCGGAAGGTGGAATTCATGAGCTGGCTCTGAAGCAATCTCTTGTGAACCAAGGGGTGGTACATGAGATAGATCAAGTGATTGACTCGCTCAATCAATGGTATAATTGACTCACTCAACCAATGAACGAATAAAGAATGTTGAATCACTCAAAAACTTAATCTGCAGATTCCAATAGGTTTAAGAGACTCACTCACTTAAGGCGAATAAAATGACAAAGACTTGAACTTTGACAAGAAGAAACTTTGCCATTACTTAAAAATAATCAAGGGTGTTTTACAAATGAGCCTAAGATCAGCTTATACAGTGTTGAGTACAACGTTCTAAAGTCTAAACATGGTAACAAGATATGCGCTATTAATCAAAAACTAGCTGTTGGAGCCTTTATGGTGGAATCCTTGGCCAAAGAGGTGAGATATGAGTGGGCTCTATCAAGAAATTTTTGGGGGATATGTGGAGCGTCTTGGGAGCTTCTTGGAGAGAGCCTAAACAAACACACAAACAAAGAAGGAAGGATTCGTTGTGGGTTGATGTCTAAATATGGTAAGTAGAGCTTAGCCCTATTTGATATATCAAAGGCCTATGCACTTTTCCTTTTCTATGTAACAAGTTTGGCAACTCCACATCCATGTAACAAGTTTGGCAACTCCACATCTATGTGAATCATGTGATAGATTTGTCTTCTACTCACTATCGTTTTTCATACTACGTATCTACTATTAATTGGGGAGGACAAAGTGTTTCCAAACAGACCCCGTTATCAAAAAAAAATTCATAAAAATTATACATGTTGCCAAATAAAACTAAAGACATCAATTTTTTTTTGTCAACATTGCCCAAAAAAAAAAATTGCTGTCTTTAGTTTTGTTTGGCAATTTTTTTTAATAAATAAATGATAAAAAACATAAACTATCTATATTTATGGAAATCATATTAATTTGTTGCCAAAAAAGTGGAAAATTAAATTCGAAAATTCACATATGTAAAATATTTAATTTTTTGAGATATTTTTAAACAATAATTTAATAATTAATCAAATCTAATTTATAGTATATTTTATTTGGTTTAATGGTTTTATTCAAGTGGTTTATATTACTTGTATTTTGTATAACTCTTATGATATGATAATATAATGATTTTTGCGTTACAACACCCTAACAAATCCAACAATAATCTAAAACACCAATGAGTGCCTAGATCATCCTCCTCTCCTCGCCATGATTCCACGGATCACACTTTCGCTTTACCTGCATCACAAAATGAGATGGATAAGTATTTCATAAATACTTAGTGAGACAATCATCCCCACAACAGGCTATACACACAAACTGCATAATCCACACTACAGCAACACATATCAATCATAAAAAGGCCATAACAATAACAACACAATCCGATCAGACGAGTAGTGTCGATCGACACCATCATCTGGTGTCGCTCGACACTCGCGACCATCCTCGCGAGAAAGAAAATTGATGTCGATCGACACCCACCACTGGTGTCGAGCGACACCGAAACCCTAACATCACTCCAGTCGCTTCTCATCAACGAATCCGCCGTTTCCAAGCCCTCCATGGCCGTGTGACCACTCCATAAGGCTCGCCCAGAGGTACCATGACACAAAAAAACACGCATACAACAAGGAAAATCAATCAACAATCATAGAAATCGCCAAAACATGAAACAAGCAGCTCAGATAAGCCTAGGTCCTGCACTCACCTTTCAAAAGGACTGAAACAAGGACGAATAGATCACAACAACAACAACCAAGGACTCTCCTAATACCACAACTACGAGATCTCTCTTCCCAAGGACAGAAACACCAAGAACAAGCCTCAAAACACTCTCAAACCTCACAAAACCTCTCTAGAGAACTTAGAAACCTTAGAGAAGAATAAAAGCGGCCACCTCTCAACAAAAAACGACCTTTACTCTTTTAAACGTGACCTAGGGTTAAACCCTAACCAAAACCACACAATTTCGCAATTAAAATCGACCCGAACAAACCGAAACATGCTGGTGTCGAGCGACACCCTTCAGTGGTGTCGATCGACACCGCCCAAACCGGAACACGGGCGTTACATTATGAAACCTTCTTTTAAAAATACCCTCTTTTTGCCATTTTCATTTCTACCCACTTTTAATTTTTAATACCAGTTTTACCCTCAGACCAACGACCTAATTGTTTTCTCTCTCTTTCGTCTTCTCTCTTCTTTCGCCGTCAGAGTGTTTTTCGCTTCGCCTCTCGTCGGAGTGTTCTGTCGTCGGAATTATCTTATCTTCCATTCTTCTCGTCGGAATCATCGTCACTTTCCCATGTTCGTTTTCGCTTATGGGATCGATTTTTAAGTTTAACCTAAATGACGATTTCGAATCAAATTTAAAGTTTAGCCTAAATGTCCCAATTTTGAATCGTTTTTGGTGTTGGTTATGTGATTATGTGAATCGATTCTCCTGTCATGCTGTTTCTGTGAGAGATTTTGTGTTTAGTCGGTTTTTGGACTACAATAGAAAGAGCTCTTCTTCTGTATTCTATGATTTCAAATTTAAAGTTTAGCCTAAATGTCTCGATTTTTTGAATTGTTTTTGGTGTTGATTATGTGATTATGTGAATCGATTCTTCTATCATACTGTTTTTGTGATAGATTTTGTGTTTAATCGGTTTTTGGACTACAATAGAAAGAGCTCTTCTTCTGTATTTTATGATTTCAAATTTAAAGTTTAAAAACTGTACAAGAAATGATAAAAAGGGAACGGGTAATTCAAAAAAAAAATCTGAACTATTTCTCATCAGAAACAAAACGATATAAAAATTTTGGAAACTTAAATTCATTTTCAACTTTCAAATATAAAATAACGGGTATGATAGAGGAATATGAAATTTAAGTAGCAAACTCTATGATAAACTTAGGTTTTGCAATCAACCCAGCCCTAGTAATACTTTAAAATGTGATTTCCCTTTATATACGTATACATTACCATTTGATCTGATGTGCCTCATCTTCTTTAAATCTATGTTATCTAGAGTCCGTCCACTTGAAACATGTTTTATGAGAAACCAATTATATTTTCTATAGCATATGAAAGCTCTTTTCTGAATATTTTTGTAGTACTAATAATGGTTACAAAAGAGATACAAATACTATGGCAAAGACGATTCAATCTGTTAAGCCCAAGCCCATAAAGTGTCCAGCCAACTCCGAAGCTTCTAAAAATTTCACTAACATAAACAGAAGCTGAAATTCTAAGCTGAGTACAATATGATATAGGTTTCTTTCAATTATGAAATATTGAAATGAATCAAAAACAATGAATCCATACATTACATTCCATATCACCAATTCAAACGGCTTTCACATTGGAGTTTTATACAACAAATATGAAGTTCAATTTACAAAATGGACCACGGTTTGTTAAAGATTAGCGAATGTCCATTTACCAGTTATGGCAGACACTATAGGCACAAAGACTTCTAGGATCTTCTTTTAAGTATTGATGGTACCAATACAAATGAGTTATCCATTTATAGCAAATTTATCAGATCTAAGTTTAAACTTGATGTTGAAATTGTGCATTAATCCTCCTAAATGTGCCGAGTGAACTTACAATTAGCACATTTAGGAGGATTGATGGACAACTTAACATCAAGCTTAGACTGAGGCCTGATAAATTTGCTATAATGGATAAGTCGCTTGTATTGGTATCATCAGTGCCTGGAAATGACCGTGACTGGTGACAACCGTGGTCGTGTCCCAACACATCAGCCATAGCAATATTGACTAGTTGACCAACTACAGAGACAAGGAACATTAGAGAACCCTGAACTTCGCCATTGCTGTTATGAAATCCAGCAAGAAGCCAAATCATCTGGATGGGAACAAGGGCACCAAGGATCTCGCTCCTGAAGAAGCCATAGGACTGGCATGGGGTTTTCTCCAAACCTGAAGACCAGAGAGAGAACAAGGAGATGGCAAAAGCAGCAACATCGGACAGAAGATGAGCCACATCTCTGAGGATTGGGAGACTGTTGGCCTTAATCCCTCCAACCACTTCGACGGTGATGAATAGGCCAAAACAGCCACCAACAGCTTCCTCATAGACACTGCGTTCTGCAGCATCTCTTGAAATTGTCCTGGCGTCCGAGAACCCGCAACCCGAACCCGGACATCCGTTGTGGTAGTTGTGCTTCTCCAGAACTAAAAGAAATAAAGATGCAATAGTTTAACAACTGAACAAACGGTCGAAACAATCCAGAACTAAAGCAAATAACCTAGGGGAAATTTTTACAATATAACATCAAGCTTAGACTGATATATATATACCTGATAAATTTGCTATAAATGGATAACTCCTTTGTGTCATCAATGCCTGAAATGAAAGAAATTTTCAGAAGAACAATCTCTATTTTGTTTCATTCAAGTGCAGTACATATGTATAATCAACAAAGAAGCATCAAAGGAAATATCAACTAGGTCCTAGCAGTTTCTTAACTTGTTATCACTAAAACACTAGACATCAAGAGCGAGGATGTTCTGCATACCTGAGATAACAAGAACTGTACCGACTTCATTGGTTGAGTAGCTCAGGCCTCCATACTGAAAATATCTGCATAGTCAAATTCCAAGTGATGAGTTTCATTGTTCAGACAAAAATCTGATCAGGACAATGAAGTTGCAAAGGCTATAATTTCAGAAACATGGAGTCTTAAAGCTGTTGCATGATATGATATAGCTCTTAAATGCCTATCAAATATTCACCATACAAGAGGGAACTGGTTCGAATGAGGAAATAAGCAGAGCTGCAAACACATGAATCCAAAATGAGAATGCAACCTAATCAGCCAATCATTTTCCCTAATCCAGCAACAAAGAACCCTAAAAACTCCCAAAAAAAAAAAAGAAGGAAAAACAAAAAAGGTTAACAACAGAACAAGAGGAGATAACCTAAGGAAAATTATAAAAACTGTAAGTGAATATGTCGGAAAATATTTATCAGTACCACACGGATTCTCTCTTTCTCGTCCCTGGACTCTGGAGCAGAAAGATGAATAGTCTCGGTTATGTAGAAAACAGTCTCGGTTATGTAGAAAACATTTATGTAGTAACGTGTGAATTGTGGTATATACAGTATTTATAAATGGTCTGAGACAGTAAATACTCTTCACATGCTCGTCCACCCCCAAAATTTGATTATAACCTAATCATTTCTCTCAATTATTATAAAAAAAAAACAAAAAAAACAAAATCTGTATTGTATAGTCTGAGATAGCCCTGTGCATATTAACGGTACCCGAAATCCGAACCCGAACCTGACCCGAAGTAGGCAGTTTGGTTCGGGTATAGATAGTGTGTAATACCCTGCCGATCGGGTTTAGTTTTCATAAAACTTGGATATTATCAGAACCTGAACGGATAACCAAACTTATATGAACATATATAAACCATCTATCCTTAAATCCCTAAATCTTTAACTGAATTTGAAGTTTGCGAAGTGTGGAACTAATGAATGATGTTTTAAGATGTTATTAGCTTTGTCTACTTGTTTTTTTTTTTTTTGGTGGAATGTCTACTTGTTTATATTCTTAAAATTTTTGACTTAATCACTTATATTCGGTTTTACTCTTTCATATATTTAGGTCTTCAACATTCTTCCGTATTTTCATTTCAAATTATGTGTGAATATTTTTTGATAAAATTATGAATGTTGAGTATTCTGGATAAAACTAAAAGTTTCAGATATTTCTATCTATTTCGGATATTATTTTTCAATTTTGGATAAAAAAAATTACCAAAATCTTCGGATATTCGATGCGAGGATCGGGTTTCATATATCCGCAATTAACCGAACCCAAAAGCAACCCGATCCGATAGTATAAAATATCTGATCGGATTCCATATCTCTGTATCCAAACATCCGAATCCGAATCCGAGCTGATATCCGAATGCCCAAGGCTATTCTGAGAAACCACTAATCGTAGGGAGAATCCGTATTAATGTCACATGCATGGGATAGTGTCAAAGTGGTACTGACTCTGCATGAAGAGGTTGCTCCCACCAGGCTTCGAAGAAAGATAAATTAATGGTACCCACGAAGAAAGAGACAATTGAAGATGGTCTCTAGAGACATAAAAATAGGACTGAACAATATTGGCTACTGATCAATCTTTACGACTTGGAATGGTTCTCTTATTTAGCAATTGCAATTTCTCTACGTAAATTTTCTTTTTTCCTTTTACCATTATAGGTGAAGAAGATGCATCGCCATTATTAATTATAGCACCACGTTCTTTAAGTCTCTACACAATAAGTGCTGAAACAAAGAAGGGTATAATATAAGTTCAACATTAAAACTTTTTATTTCAATTCCTTCACGCCAGTCTTTTTTTCACCTGTCTTATTTAGGTGAAGAGGTAATACCAGAATTTAAAGCAGCACGTGCTTTGAAATTACTGTGATGTTTCCAATTCCAATGCATGAGTGAGTCTAGTGCCTTTGAAAGTAGAAACACCTAAACGTCACGCTCATATGCATATATATATATATATATATATATTCATTTTTCAGTATAAAATATTAACACATGTTACCATTGTTTTGGAGTTTACAATTGTTTTGTTTGTTCAAATATTAGAACGTTTTATATATTTTTTAAATTAGTCTCATAAAATTATAAATTTTACAAATATTAGAATTTCTTATTAGATTTTACGAAATGTTTATTTTTGCTTTGTTAATGACATTTGGTGTTTTAAGAAAGATAGTCAATAGAACTTGATGTTTTAAATAGTCTTCAGAAAACTTCATGATTTAAATGGCGTTAATTCGAAAGAGCATGATTTAAACGGCATTTTTCCAATCGACAAAACGATGTCATTTAATCGATAATGGATTGGTTAACGACGGAGTAACCTGTGTTAGTTGCTCCGTTATCAGATTTAACGACATCTCTATTATGGCTTCGTCAACAGTATTTAATGTTTTGAAATGAAAATCAAGAAAACTTGATGTTTTAAATGACTTTAGGAAAAGTTCATGGTTTAAATAACGTTTTTTGGGTGACTTCATGGTTTTAGTGACATTTTTCCCTATATATATTAGTGTTTATCTCCAATGCTCGACTACATTGAAATGAGAACTTATACAAATATGCTGATATATTATAAACCGGCAATCACAACCTTCTCATTGCCTGGTGGTCAGCCTCAGCCTCTCCTCCTTCTGTTCGATCGACCACTTAATGTATCAACAACAAGTACTTCTTTGTAAATAACATTATTTCATTGAGTAAGTTGAAACTTCCAAAAAAAGAAAAAAAAGAAAAATAGTTTTGGCTATCGTGTTGTGTGTGTGTACAGGAGAGCCGAGAGTGATGGGCATGGGCGTGTGGACAATTTATACGTCAATGTTACTTAGTGGAGCCGACCAATAAATCACGAGGATTCACAGAGCGCGTTGCACCTAAGCTCCCACACCACACTTGGGGTTAGCCCTGGGCATTTGGGTACTCTGGTCGGATTCGAGTAAGAACCGTTCGGATTCGAGGTTCTCGGGTAGAGAAATTGAGAACTCAATAGAATAAATCTAAAAATTTGGTTTGAGTTCGGTTCGGGTCCTTTCGGGTTTGAGTTGGATCGGTTATAGATTTTCATAACCGCTAAAACCCCATATTTTTTGGATACACAAATACCCAAAATTTAACCAGAATACTAAGAAAGTTTTGGGTAAAATTTTGAAAATTTGGGTATTTAGAGTAAATAATAGGGTATTGATCAGGTCTTAAATTATTTAAAAGTATTTATATTTCTGATTTTCTCAGGTTTGAATTTGGGATCGGATCGGTCTCGGTTTTGAGTTTTCTGGTTTAGGAGTTTAGGACCCAATAAGGTAAATCTAAATAGCGTTTTGTATATGCCAGGTGCTTCTTATGTAACGCAAAACTTCAAAAGCATGTAACTTAAGGATCCCATGACCTTAGATACAACTTGCATAGTATGTATAAAAAGGATGACATAATACGTATTAAAAAGGAAATCTATACGGGATTTTTACGGATTTTGTTTTTTGTAGGGAAAATATTACGGATGCGTCATTTTTGTTAAAATTTTATGGATTTGTCATTTTTGAACGTTTAAAATGTCTTTTTCGCTAAAAGTCGTAATTTATATTAAATACTAAATCCTAAAAACAATTATAACCGACTAATCCTAAACATAATGAGTAAAACGTACATTTAATCACATTTTTCTAACGTGAGAATCGGGGCATGTTTGTTTGGTGAACTGGATGAGTTATCAAGATACATGATCTGAACGCAACAGTATCTGAACGCGGTATCCAAGTGATGTTCGTTTCATTTTCTGCGTCATACGTCCAGAAATTGTATTTGGATGCAGTTATGTTCGTTTTATATTGTGGTATGTATATCTAGATATAATACATGTCAAATGACCAAAATGCCCTTTTGTGTTGAACATATTTTAATAGTTTTAATTATGTTTATAACTATATTATTATCATACTAAATTGAAATAAACATTTATAAATAAAACTATTTTTTATAATATAAAAATGCATATTGTGAACTTTAGAATGCTTTTTTGGTTTTGGGGGAAAATCAAATTTTGCAATTTTGGCGGGAAACCATGATTTTGTAGTTTTGGTGAGAAATTTGGTTTTGGCATGAAACCATGATATTGCGGTTTTGGCGGGAAGTTCAGCTTTGGCGGGAAGTTCAGTTTTGGCGAGAAATCATGATTTTTACGGTTTTGGCGGGAGTTCAGTTTTGGCAGGAAATCATGATTTTGCAATTTTGGTGAAAAATCGAGATTTTACGGTTTTGGCGGGAAAACAAGATTGTACAGTTTTTCCGAGCAATCGAGATTTTACGGTTTTCACAGGAAATCGAGATTTTACGGTTTTCACAGGAAATCGAGATTTTACGGTTTTTTGGGAAACCATGATTTTGCAGTTTTGGCGGGAAAAAAATAGTTTACGGTTTTGGCATGAAATCACGATTTTGTGTTTTTGTTGGAAAATCATGATTTTGCGGTTCTTTCAGAAATCATGATTTTGCCATTTTGGATGGGAAATAAAATTATATAATTTTAGCGAGATATCATTATTTTGCGATTTTGGTGAAAAACAAGATTTTTGTAGTTTTGGCAGGAAAATAAGAGTATGCGGTTTTTGTAAAAATTTGTTTTTATTATTTTTATTAAGAACTATTGTTTTAAGAGTTTTACAAAAAAATGAGTAAATAAAAAATAACTAAAATTATAGCTAAATAAGGGTATTTTAGACTTTTTTAATTTGAGACGTATTTAGGTGCGTCCAAACTCATCTTTCAAACTGATCCAAAATATC